GCTTCGCCGCCGCACCCACGGTGAAGTAAATAGTGAAACTGCAGTCCAACGCGATCGTATCTTATCTGGATTGTTGGCTAGAATTGTGGGCTGGCTTATTGTTGGCTGGCTTATTGTTGGCTAACTTGACTCAAGTCTTCTGTAAGTTGAATGGCGCCCTCGAAGCCAGCAGCAAAACCGGACCAATGAACTATGATATTTGTTTATTGTTATTGTTTTGTGCATCGATTATTTGATTACGTTTGGCTGGTGTAATAGTTGGCAATCAGATTGAATCTGTTACAGGGAAGTAACCCTGATATTTCAATGTTTATTCAAATGGTGTTCCATCGAATACTCTGACGCATTTGCTCTTGAAAATGGAGGTTAATAAATTGGATTCGAAAGGAAAATCAGTTGACAGGATGGAGAATTTACCGCCCGAGGTAAAATTGTGGTGGCTAGCCTGGCTGCCTTGTTCTAGCTAGGGTAGGGGAGTAGGCCTAGTACTAGTAGTAGTAGTAGGGTCTAGGCTAGGCTAGCAGGGCCTGGGCCCGCCTAGGTAGGCTACTCTATATTCCTACCTAGGGCCTAGCTAGGCCTATTGTTGGCCCCTTTTCCTGCATTGCTGAAGGCCTAAATAGTAAAAATATTGCAATTAAATTAATATTTCTTTTCTGTATGACATCATCACTAGGCTAGGCCTAGTATAGGCTAGGCCTAGTAGGCTAGGCCTAGGCCTATCCCTACTGCTGTAAATTTTTTGAATTGCACTGAGGTTATCTAAAAAATCAGCTCAAATTTGCTCAGAAAATCGCTAGGAAAATAGGTGCGCGGAATCGTAATTGCTGCATAATTGCATTGGTTATATATCAAGATTTGGTCAAAGCCTAATTTTCGGCAAAATCTGCGCAGAAATCTTGGCCCTTTTTTTCTGACGGATTTCTCTAGGCCAAATTTTTGCTTGGAGTATATATTTCTCACGCAGGCCTTTCTATACAGTTAGGGTCAGTATTTTTAAGCATATAATTTTTTTTTTTCTTTTCAGGTTGAAGAAGGGAATATTGAATATAAGGTAATTAACCTAAATTTTAATAATGCAATTCAATATAATTCAAAACAATTTCAAAAGAAAAACAGACATATTTGCAGGTAATGTAGGCCTATATTATAAAATACTATTTTAGCATGGTCATAATATTTTTAATATGAGAGAATTTTTGTAACATTTATATTTTATAATGATTTAAAAGAAAGATGCAATGGTACTTAGGGTTTAGTGCACACAGATCCGCTTTTTCCATCATTTTTCTGCGGATTAGAATTGCATTATGTATGCTCTTAAAAGATGCAGACGAAATCAACGCATTATGCACCAGCCTTACCTTCCAGATACAGATCAGTACATGGTTTAATACTGATGTAAAAAATAATGCAATGCAATTGATTTTCGTCCAATTAGTTGAAGCTTATCAATCCATCGGCCTGCCGGTTTGAACACCTTGTAACACAGATGAAATGGAGATTGAGAGAAGGACACGGTGAGGCTATCTATGAAATTGGTGTGGAGGACAGCGGCCTGCTTGCTGGACTGAATGATGCTGACCTCCAAGCATCCCTCCATACTCTACGCAAAATGGCTCATAAGTATGTATAGCAATAATAATTGAAAAAGTTATACGACTGGAAGTTCCTCTGATAGAAGACCAATTTTGTAGGGATGGGCTTATACCCAAGGCATTTTTTTTGCAAAAAAAAAAATCCCTTTTAAACTGAAAGCCTATCCTATAATTTTCACCAAGATAGTGATGATTATATAATCTTTGCGATTAAATTTGTTAGGCCAACCAGGGAACAGTTAAATTAATTTAACTGTTTCCTGGGCCAACTAGGCCTTAGGATAGCAGAATTTGGAGAAGTTGGAGATGGAGAGACGACTCCGAAGACAATAATAAGAACAATGTTATTGTTTTTGCTGTTTTTCTTGTAGTGATGAAATTAGGGCTGCTACAAATGTTTGTTAAATATCATATTTTCTTGATTTTGTATTGATTTAATAGACTAGGAGCAACCATAAATATTTTGCGTCAACGAGTGGTTAACGACTGTCAATTTGAAAAGAAAACAGCGTGTGAAGTCCTTGTCCGTAAAGTTCCAGATGATCAACCGGTATGTTTATTATTTTTATTATATTACCGTAGTTCCTCTGGTATAGGCCCACCCCTTGATCACAAACTCGGGCCCTTGTTGGGGGTGGAATAACCCTTTTCAATCAAAAGGAAATTTTTCAGCACTGATGGATAATTCAGCCAATATTTGCTTTTTTCTGAGAGTAATTTGTGAAAGTCAGCTACTCATTCAAATCATACCGTGGGATTTGGCCCAAGGAAAGGCTGGTACGTAAAATAGGGGATGAGCTTGTACCTGAAGATATACAGTATTATTGTTTGTTATGTTTAGTTTATTATAGCCAGTGGTGGCGCCAGGATTTGCTCGAGGGGGGTCCAAGGTCCCCGACGGGAGGGGGGAGGATTTCCCCAACACAAAAAAGTGGGCGCGGTTGGTCGGGCATCGCTCAAAATCTCTCAAAAGTAATCCATGGGGGGCAGCGAAGCCCCTGATATATATGAAAATTTAGAGGTTTTAAAGGCGTATTTAATTGATTCTGGGTCTACTAATGTGTAGAAAATACATATACATATTTTTTCTCAATAACGAATTGTGGTTTATCTCCCCGACGGGTGTGGGGGGCCCTGGCCACCAGACCCCCCCCCAGTATATTTCTTCCTAATTATATACATTTAATGCATGTACCCTTCCCATTAAAGTACTATACTGTTTACATTCCCCAGTAAAATATTTTTATTTTCTCCTCCATCTGGATGTTTTTTGGCAAAACTATTTGCTAAACAAAAAAACAACATTTTATTTTAATTCTTTAAAAAAATATGTTTGAGAAACCAGGAATAAAAAAGTCTCTCGCATAAGATCGTGAGTATTCTTAAGCTCTATTTCTTAATGAAAATTGTCAATCCAATTTTTTATTCTGTATTTATTAGTTTATTGACCTAAAGCTTGCGGTCCTTGGAAATGTAGATGGAGGTAAAAGCACGCTCTTAGGTGTCTTAACTCAAGGAGAACTGGATAATGGTAGAGGGCGTGCTAGACTTAATTTATTCCGACATTTACATGAAATTCAATCAGGAAGAACCTCCAGTATTAGTCATGAAATCCTGGGCTTTAACAGTGAAGGAGAGGTTTGTATTTTGCTAATTTATTCAAAAACAAAGTTAGAGGGCACTGTTTAGTTGACACATTTTGTATTCATTAAATGAATTTAGATTCAATGTTTTTGTTTATCAATGCTTTCTATTATGAGCTAGAAAAAGTAAAAAATTCCCTTCCATACTTGATTGCTTGAATTGTAAGTTAATAACCTACAGTGTAATCTAGAAAATGTTTTGCCTGTTAAAAATATGGTTTATGTAAAATAAGGAGCGATAATGATTGTTAAATATTAGAGAGATTTAATTATCTCTTTTAAGAACCAATGCATCGAGAAAATTTCCTGTTTTCTGTTTCATTTGGGTCGTAGTGGCACGATGGCTGATGTAATGGTACTTTATGGATAGGGCCTAGCCTTGGACGAGATACATTGATTATGTAAAAACCTAGTAGGTTATGTAAAAGCATGTTATTATAATCATTTAATATATATAGTCAAATAACATTGAAATGTTGCAAATACATTCAGTTTCTGGTTCTCGATTCATCACCTGGGATACAGTGATTGAATCTCGGGTTTCGTTTGCGAGAAAAATAAAACTAAGCCTTATGGTGACGTCATGCTATTTGCCCGGTGGACTGGTTCTCAAACAAGATAACAAAAGCTCTCTAATGACTGATGTTTTACAGGTAATTACTAGCAGTGACACTCAGCAAGGCTGTTTGGCAGTAGAGGAGATCTGTTCAAATGCTAGTAAACTGATCACTTTGATTGACCTTGCTGGACATCAAAAATATATCAAGACTACAATATGTGGGCTTACTGGCTACTCTCCGGACTTTGCAATGTTGGTGATAAGTGCAAACACTGGTATAGGTATGATTGTAAAGGATATATTATATTCAAAATCCATATATGTTTAATTGAGATGAGATTGCTTATATTCTACCCTCTGTCCAATAGTATTCAAATAACAAATGTTTTGAAAGTGCAATAGAATATATATCGTAATGAAAATAGAATATTCCATTCAATGAGGCAAACGTTTTACTATAAAAACCATCCTTAAATTGATTACCATGCAAAAAATACAGTAAATGCATAATTTAACTGTCATCATGACCATATTTAGACATGCCGCATGTTTTTAGAATTTGGTTGTCTGAACAGGGCTTAACATAAAACTTTCATTTCAATAGCTGGAACTACCAAAGAGCATCTGGGTGTGGCCATGGCTTTGCAAGTGCCAATCTTTGTTGTGGTTACAAAGATTGACATGTGCTCAAGTTCTATGTTACTGCGCTGTATGACGCAGCTTCATCGTCTGCTCACGGGGCTTGGCTGCAAGAAGGTTCCATATGATGTCCAGTGTATCGACGATGCTGTTAATGCTGCTCTTCATTTCAACCATGGAAGGTAAAAAGACATATTTTATTGTATGTATATTCTAATCCCTTTCTTTTTTTGAGAAAATAATTTATTAAACGTTTTATATCTCGTTAGTATATGTCCAATATTCCAAGTGTCTAGTGTAACAGGAGAAAACCTTGATATGCTGAAGAAGTTCTTGCATGTAGTACCCCCTCTACATACAACACATGAACAAGAAAAACTTATTCAAGAACATGCTGAATTTCAGGTAAGGGAGGGGAATATATGTACACTTCCTACACTCCATAATCTATGGTTAGTGTTGAATCCTCTATCAGTATAATTGTACTGTATGAAATTTATATAATAATACCAATCATTCGACAAGTCGAGAGTTTGGACTGAGGTGTAATTAATCGTTTTCCTCAGATTGATGAAGTCTTCAGTGTGCCACATGTGGGTACAGTCGTTGGCGGTGCACTACTAAGGTATGAAGACAGTGTTTAACAATATTAGTTGACTTTTCATTTTATTCACATTTTCTGTAATGGTATTATGACTATGACCTGGCACACACGAGACATGTCTGCTTACAGCCTACGCTTACAATGCATGAATGAACACCATATCTCTAACTGTACACTCACACAGAATGGAAATCACTGTCCCAAATCGCCTTCTCCGTTATTGTTTATTATTATAACACGTTTACTTAAATATAGTTACATCTTTTACTTTCAACAGAGGTATTGTAAGAGAACATGATGAACTTCTATTAGGTCCTTCTGAAAATGGAGAATTCAAACCAGTTGAGATTACCAGTATTCACCGCAATAGGTCACCTTGCCGCATTGTTAGGCCTAGTCAAGCAGCCTCTCTCTCACTAAAGGAAATTGATAGAGCAGTATTAAGAAAGGTATTGTTTTCAAGAGGTTTTGGTTGATTTCTACCATACCATTAGAAGGTGCTGGCATCATTATTATTTTTATTACTCCTGGTCATTTGATCCATAAATTGGCACATAATGGTGTGACATAATCACTCCCTGGATACCTAGTCTTATTGCATTTTAATGCGCATGGACTACTACACATAAACATCTACTCATGTGTGGAGAGAGAGACAAACGTAGGTAAGTGCATTGCCGTCTACATTTTAATCTGAGCCAAAAAGGAGAATTAATACATACTGGTACTTCCCTTTGATTTCCGTAGTTTTTAACAGATTTTTTCGTAAAATAAAATGCTGTAGGCCATGCCTACAATGGTACGACTGACCCATCCAGTCTTCTCGTCTTAGTCTTTTGTATAGACTAGAAAGGCCCGAACTTCAAGTATTAAAGAATCATCTAACACTAATATATTTAATATATGCCTATAGAATACTGTATAATATCTGATTCGACTGGGTATTTGTTTTCCTAACAGTATAATTCTAAATATTATTAATTAAAACATTGGTCATTTAAAAAGCAAAAAATTGCCTAGGGCTACATTGTGATGAGGGGAAGAGCAAATAAATATTTATTTAAGTGCCATATTATTTTTGCAGTGCTACCAAATAAGAAAGTTAATCTCCAGCCCTGATTGCCTGTTTTCTGTTTCAGGGTCTTGTTCTTTTAAAGGCTGAATTAGAGCCATTTGCTTGTAAAGATTTTGAAGCAGAGATTCTTCTTTTGTATCACACAACCACTATAAGCTGTGGTTTCCAGGCTACGATACATGTTAGCAACGTTTGCCAAACTGCCACAATTGTGCACATGGATAAGGTAAGTCTTTAGTATACATCCAGTGGCCTAACGCATGGACTTTCAAAGGGAAAAACTCCTGGCTCTTCCTACACTTTGACTTTACAGTCAACACTTTGACATTACAGTCCACAAAGACACCCGAAACTAGTAAATTAAAACAACATATTTCCTGGTTTTTAACTCACGATTTTATTATTTGAACACTCATAACAACACTTCTTTTACACAATACCCAACTTAAACAAACCTCACTAGGACTAGAAACTGAAATATAAATGGTTTGTGACTTCAATAACAGATCATCAATTTATAATGGCATTTCTAGACTATCAACTTTTATTTGACCAAAAAAATGCTGTATACCTATATGTCATCATGTGCCTATATATGGTCATGATGTGATGTCATCATGACCATATTAAGGCATGTCACATGTTTTTGATTAACATTTGATACAACAGTACTCTTTTTCAGTACCCCCTCCCTCCCCTCTGAAAATGTACATAAAAAATGTTGATTTCTCCAACTTTTTATGAAGTCAACTAAAGTACTGTACTTGGTTACATAAAAAAATTGTATATTATAGCCATGGTTTGCATTATAATTGGTCATAAAAATCTGTTATTTCAAGATATTGTATTTTATTTTTAATTAACATTTTCATGCATATATAAAAGTTTACAAATCCCCGCCCCCCAGTGTATTGTTTGCACACTTTGTGAAAATGTTGATATTCAAACACATGTGACATGCCTGTCAAGGCTTGTGTCAATTTGACTATATTCCCTGGAATTTAACTAACTTTTTGGTATGGTTAGTCTATATTCTAGCTTGGCCAACCTGGTGACCCTAACATTTAACTAATTTGCTTATAAATACTCCCTTTGGAAACAGTTTCTATTTAATGTATAATTCAATATTAGAGAAGTCAGTCACTATAATCAGACAAGACTAATTATATGGTGACCAATTAAAGAGCTGAAATTGACTGGTTTTTGCATGTAGGATCCTTATCTGTTTGATGCTAAATTACACTCTTATAGATACTAAAAAGCTACCAGCAAAGTAATGGAGTAACATATAAATTTACTTTACTGTACTACCTTTGATATTGATCGTTTCACCTTGATTACTTTGTAGCAACATGCTTAGTCATCCTTTAAATTTTCATAACTTCCGCTGCCCAACGATTATACCTAGAAACATTATGTAGCACGATTGTAAAATATTTTCATCTTAATATAACCATATAATATACCACCAGAAAACAAACAACCACGTGTCCAGTCATTTTTTAAATATCAGAACCTTCTGTTGATTGCCCTAGGATTAAACATAAACACATGAAGTAACACAACTGTAAAATATTATTTTAATATAAATTAATAACCATATATTAATATACCAGAAAACAAACAGCAACATGCTTGTTTATCTTTACAGTGTTTAGTGACAGAATTGATATTTATAGTTCTTTGATATTTTAGACGTAAAAAACCCACTTAAAACTTACGTGTGACAGTGGCTATCAGCACGATTATAAGATACTGTAATCATGGGCGGATCCAGAATTTTTCAAAGGGGAGGGAGGGGAGTGCACAACAGTTTCACGATAGATAAGTGAATGGCACATAGCATTAATATGCATTGAAATTTTGAAAATTAAGTGGCTGCCTCTGGTAATGTAATGTGTGTTGATGCACTGGTTTGATTTAATCTATAGATGCAGTAGTCTCACTCCTACACAAGATTATGCTATTTGAGTTTAAGAATATGTTTTTTCCATTTGATTTGTTTTAGGAATCTCTAAAAACGAACGAGAAAGCCACCGTAAGATTGCATTTCATTAAGCATCCTGAGTATTTGCGTGTAGGTTCTAGACTGTTTCTAAGAGAGGGACGTACCAAAGGCATGGGACAAGTCACTAGGGTTATACCTTACCAACACACTGATGTAGCAGAAAGATGACGTGGATCATCATTTTAAGAGGGCAGCAAAGCATATTTTACAATGATTAGTCTTTAGAAGGCGACAGACCAAAATGATTTTAACAATTTAGATTTGAATGTAATGCATACTCTCAGATTGTATTTGTACAGATATATTAATTTTAGTTTTACACAGTGAAGTTTGAAGATTGTAGATATTTTGTATGAATGATAGTACCATTGTATATAGAATTAGGGAGATATTATGTGTGTGCTTGGTCATTAATGTTATGTAGATTTGTATTGAATTTATCTATAACTTTCATCTGGTTTTCAGATTAGGTTGAGATGCAATATATACACATTTGGATTTTGTACAAAAATAGTAAAAAATGTCATGGTTAACTTTAATAGAAATATTAAAACCTGGGAAGATTCTGGCAGACATGACAGCCAATGATAAAATAATACATATTTTGATATTAATATAATAGTTATTGTTTAATCAGAGGAGCATATCCTAAGGCTCCTAACAATGCAGATAGTACAGAAAATGCAAATCCACATTCTGTATTTCCCTTCAGAGTGTATGGACCTTCCACTAAGCCATGCCACTTGGTTATTGTGGCTAAGGTCCCCCAAAACTACTGCATAAGGCACGTAGATACCAGCGTTTGTGGGAGAGGATGTATGTTCGTGGGATGAGTGCGTAGTTATGACCCAGTTCTGATTGGTCAGTTGTCAATTTTTTTACTGAAGTTATTAAAGTGGCGACATTGACATTCTATTGGATGCGGACATGAGTAGCTTTTGTTTTTCCTAGAATTCGCAATCGGGAAGGCTCCCAATTCGGCCAACCAGTCATCATCATGCTAAGACACAGCATGAATTCTAGTGTAGAAAAGTAGAGGACATAAGCTAGTACGGTATAGTTTGGCAATCACCACCGGTATATCGTTTATACATGACCCCAAACCGCTGTCAATTTTGACACTGATGATGTCAGTATTGTTAAGGCCTATCCTTAAGCTTACAGAACTATTTTATATATCTTAAATTCAAGATTAAACTTTCTTATCCATTCTAGTAATTCCATTGCTTGCATACATATAATAAACATTTATAAAATACAGTACAATAATTGTAATAGACCAGCATTAAATTAAAATTCTAAAAGTTTTAAAGTTATTATTATTATTATTTATTTACTTAATTAATAATTTTAAGGTTAAGGAAGGAAGGAGAAAAGGCATCATTCAGTTGAAATCACAGCTTACAGTGATTTCTCAAAAGGTGGGTGGCCGATCGAGAGACACTACCATAGGGCGAGGAAAATTGTTCGTCCCCTCCCCCAAATCTTCCCGTCTTATCGTCTCGTAGAGAGAGTTACCGGGGTAAATTTTGAGAAGGGGTACGGTTTTTGCCATTGAAGTCTTTTAATTTTTTAAAGAAAAGATACAAAATAGCATACAAATACTAAATGTACAATATTTCGTAATAGCATATACTGAACACGTTTCATACCATTATTGGATATATAATTTTTCTGTATAATTATATTACATATAGATATATATATATATATGAAATCGATGACCCCTCGTTTAAAAAATTCTGGATCCGCCCCTGGTTACTATTGTTTATGACGGAGATAAACTTACACAAAGCGTATTCGCATGACCAATCTGTGCAGAATCATCTATATGTTTAATATGAGGCGATATATTATTCTCTGCCAAAGTCATTAATCATTAAATCCTAGGAATAATTTCCAATCATCAAAATATTTTCTAAGTACAGTAATAATTATAATTATCTGTTTTGGCCCGCTAAGTTACTGCTTTATTGGGGGAGCTTGTCAGATTACGACTATTTTAACGTTTTTTCAAGTTCGCTATATTTATACATATAGAATGAAAGAAAATTTCACAAAATAGCCTGCTAAAAAGTACAAATATGATCTCATTACAATAAACAAAGCTCGCATTATACTTTAACAAATATTTCATTTCACGTCTTCATAGCACTAAGAATGACTGTTGTTTTCAAACGCGCACATATTGCTCCCTGTTACGTTCTGGATTTAAATGACAACCTTTCTCGTCATACCGGAGAGAATTGCATTTTAGCGCCCTCATGCATTCCATAGCACATCTTGTACAGCTTCCTATAGAACTTAAACAAGCTCTACCGATTTCCTCAGGTATCTTGAAAAAGGCTGAGGTAGTACCTAATGGTTAAACAAAAGTAGCACGAAATATAAAGTGTATGGTTCCTTCAATTCAATCACGGGAGTAGTGCATAGATTAGGCATTGATTAGTACTTGCATACGGTATGTGTAGGCTTACGAATGATTAAATTACAAATAATAATGATGATGACGACGACGATGCTGGGGATTATGAGGATGCCCTAATATTGGTGATTTCAACAATATTGTGTGAGGATGTCTTGGTGGTGTTAGTATGTAATTAGTTTACTTTATGAAAATCAACGTCAACTTACGAATGTTATCTTCAGATGTCGTGATTTCATCGGGACAAACTACTGAATTGATTTCAGGATTCACTATTATAATAAATAATGAAATAAAAATCATCCTGTCAGTAATGAGCTATTAGTACTGTGTTCTTAAATAGGAAAAATGTTAACCAAGGTTTTAAATTTTATAACAAAGGTAATAACATTGAATGCATGAGATTATAATTTTTAAGCATGCAACTAGGTTCCTTGCAAAAAGCAATCATATTTCATTGCATCAGATGAAATAAGCGGTAAAAAGCTGAACAAAAGTAAACCAAGAGCATGCTGACATGCTGAATATCTAGATTTTCATTTTAATTATAATAAAAATTGGAGCATTATGTCAAAACGGTAGGCAGGAAAGAGAAAAATGGTATTGTTTAACGGAAGAAATAAAATGTAAAATTTTGGTTTTACATCTGCAGAAATACAATTACAGCTTTTTGAAAGACAAGTTATTCTGATATTACTGTACGGGTCTGAACTTTGGGGATACAAAGACTTTAACTATATAGAAAATGTAAACATTGTAAATTTGTTTGAATGTCCAACAAGTGGGTAGAATTCCTATGACATATTACCAAATCTTAAGAATGGTAATTACTGGATAAAAATAAAATGGAATGGAAAATAATAGCCTACGAAGTATTTGTTATCAAAGACAAATGTATTGGAGAGAAAAAGCATAACCTTTTGGACATTCGAAATAAAAAGAAAACATTAAATACTTTTGGTTTTAATTATAATATAGAATAATATAGTTGAGGAGCAGTTTACCTATTTTTTTTTTTTTTTTCAAAGAAAAATTTTAGATGTAGCACTTCAAAAAGGGGAAAAATGTTAAGAAATAATACACAACTTCAGTTTTATGCAAGTATTATTAATCCCGAAAATAATGTGGAAAGTCTTCGTGGGTGAAGGCACTTTTGAACTGATTAGCAACTGCGTTTGCTTTATCCATGTTATCAATGAGCAGTTCATTATTTGCTTTCAATGGCTGAAACAAAATTTAAATAAAATTAAACTATAAACAGTTCTAATAATCTATAAAAGTAAGATCTCCCACTTAATTTAAGTTCTCCTCCCATTTAATTCAAATCTGTTTTTTAATTATTTCAATTCTCTCTTTGCCAACACTGGTAAGGTGAAACTTCTACATTATACTGCTATAGATACATTTTAATAGTATGTTTAAATTCCAGATTTTATATGATAAATGTTGTTTTATATTATTTTACAGAAAGAAGGTATATTATTAATTTTTTTTTTCGGACACAGTGTTTTGGAAGACCAACTTAGATAGTGATTTAGTTTACATTTTTGAAAATCTTTCTTTCTCTTACTGTTGTTCCCCTCCCTTACCAATTGTGTTGTTATCATTTTGCTTTGTATCCGTCTTATTGTTCCAGTGAGAACAAAAATAAATGAAATTAAATCCAATACAGAGATATCCAATACTGAGATATTGAATTTGGAGTTGGAGGGGCACACCATATCCGGTGATAGTAGTTTTTGTACCGCTTTTGCCTCTCCTCAGCCCTCCTCTACCCTCCTCTTTCTTTTTTGATTTTGTATTTTTGTGGTTCTGGCTGAAAGGAATAAAATAAAAAATAAAATAAAATACTCTCCAAACCAGCGCCAAAAAGTACACATATGATCAGATTTCAGAAAATGATAGAGGTAATTGCATTGCAATATGTAAAACAAACGAAACGAAAAAAAAAAAACACCTTGACGCAATCTGGACGTAATGTTCTCGGAACGGCCTCTAGCGAGAAGGTGCGAAGCAATCGTAAAACAATTTTGAACGCTGATCTTATGTCGGTTATGTATACAGATTTGGAGGTGGAATACACAAAAAAGGACCGTATCTTTCGTCTCTCGAGACGTGACTCAGTGCTGCAATTCATAGTGTGGGGAGATTAAAGCTTTCCTAATAAATTTACGCAGCCAAACATTGTAATTATTATTATCAGGCCAAAATAAAAATCAATATAATTTGGTGTGACGTCACATTTTGTGATTCATGATACTACGTCACGTTGTTCACTTGTAAAATCGTACCCGTCCCGCATTCTTTGTTTTCACTCAGATCAGATAAACAATTAACGTGTCATACACAGTGGTATTTTTAAAGTGAATTGTTATTAGTTTAATTTCTGAATTCGACCACGACCATCTTTATAAAATTCCACCTCTGCAAACCACACCTATTAAACAGTACAACATTAGTTTTTAATATTAATGATCATGTATTATTCAGAAATTTTTTAAAATTAATATAATATAACAGTGACTACAAATAATTTTGGCTTCACAGTGTACAGTATTATTATGTTGCAGAAAATAGTAAAATGTAAAATTCGAACTTCCTGAATTATGAATTTTCTCAATTACGAACTTGGTTCGAAAATTTAGTAGGCCTAATTGGTAGATGTTACTATACATGTAGAAAGCTGTATGACGTTGTTTTTTGTTTTGGTTTTTTTTTGGGGGGGGGGGGGTTTACATGTGATCATTTAGAATTATGTAATTATTATTAATATTATTATTATAGTTGTTATTTGTGATTTTATTGTTGCTTTTGGTTGTTTTTTGTTTGTTGTTGCTTTTTTTTAAATTAATATTCATTTATTAGACACATGGTCCAAGGATTGGCAATAGCGAACCTCTTGTTGCTGCTGTTGCTGTTGCTACTGATGTTGTAGTTATAGTTGTTAAAAAGCTGTGTTTAATGGACAAAGTTTAAGGATACATTGGTTGTTGTTACTTTTTTAAAAATTAATATTCATTTATTTAGACACATGGTCCAAGGATTGGCAATAGCGAACTTCTTGTTGCTGCTGTTGCTACTGATGTTGTAGTTGTTAGAAAGCTGTGTTTAATATAGGGAGTTGTTATAGTGACACTATAACAACTCCCTGGTTTAATAGACGTGTAAGGATACTTAATAAACAGAGCATTAAGGTTGAAAATTTACCTACATTTTACCACAGAGAGCCTATCATAAATACTGTATGTCTGAAAGGTACCCCATTCGATGTCCGTACTTGGAATACTTCCATCAAGACGTGCACGAATAAGGTGATTGTAATCACGCAGACGTACGTAAATGTACTGTGCAATCGAAATCACATCTATTGGTAGATTTGATAATTCAGGAATCGAAGATTCAGTGAGAAGTAGTTTAATGTTGCCTCCGTCAGTGGCATCACAAGAATAAATCTCTTTTCTCATATTGGTCCAATAAAGCCGAACGCCTACGGTATGTAAACGATAATATCAAAAACACATTGTACTGTTTTATGTTTAAACAAAAGCATAATTCAAATTCGAAGTGAAATTCATTTACACATTTATGAGTAATTTAGGTCTATTTATAGTAATTTGATAGTGCAATTTTTAACGTGACTTCGATGCACGGTTAGGTGTGTGGTGCTTCGGTTCTGGGATAAAACTGGATCACCAGGAGCCGATTTGAGATTTTCAGCGGGTGCCACACAGTGTATCAAGGGTATAACCCATCGTAAAGGAATTGCGTTTTAATTTAAATCTCCGAACTTCTGGAAGCTGACATATTCTATGAATGTAGGCTTGTATGCAGGCTACAATTTAAAAACGGGTGGGACTCATTCAAAAATTCGAGGGGTTCGCTAGAAAACAGGGGGGTTCGCTAGAAAAGGGGGTTCGCCCGAACCATAAAAACCCCCCCTGGCTACGGGCCTGGTGACGATGCACGGTTTGGTGTCTGGTGCTCCGGTTCTGGGAGAAAACTGTTTGGATCACAATCAGGAGCCGATTTGAGATTTTCAGCGGGTGCCACACAGTGTATCGAGGGTATAACAACATACAACAAACATTCTTTGTTTTAGTTTAGTATCCTATATTCAATTCGTGAAAAATACCATATACAGTGTTTTTACATTATTTACTTTCACCATAATTCGTCAAATATCCGTAGCTTCTAAGGGCCTTCTCCTAACAGGGATCCTTGGCGGGCCCTTGCTTCGCTCAGATAGCCCCTGTCGAGGCCTTCATTCTCTCCGTCGAGCAGATCCGGGGACCATTACTGGTGCCAACCTGCTCAATAAAAGTCCCAGGCATGGCATTTTGAATGCGTGCTACCTGTGCATCAAGTACCAGAGCAATATATCTTAACTGTTGGATTCTTGTTAAACCTTTTATGTACTGCATATTTATTTTTTATGTATTTATTTAACTTTGTAACTAATCTATAAACAGGAAATAATCACATTGCTTAGATGTGAATCTGAAGTCCCAGACACGTTGTTATGTGTGCTTAAGTGTCGCTTGAATTCCGATGACAAATCATCATTGGATTAACTACCTACCTGTCGGATCGAGTCCCAGGCCCCTTGGTTCATCGTTTAAAATAAATGTTTCATAGGTTGAAGATGAATTCGTATGAAAGCGGTAGATACCATCAGAACTCGTAAAAAACACGTATCTAAAAAAGTCATGTATTATTATTATTATCTGTGTAATGATACGGGGTGGGGGAGGTACAACATTTGTGCAATTTTTTTGTAACTATAGTATTTAATGTCGTCTCGTTTTATATTGAATTGTATATATGTTACTTTACCAACGCATTGCAAGAGCGTTTGCCGCTGTTTTAAAAGCTTCAATCGTTTCAAATAAAGTTTTTGGTATCATCAAAACACTATTATAATATTCCTTGCCATCACTAACTGTATGCTAAGATTCTAATATCGGGTTTTTTTTTTTTAATTTTATCTGTATAAATACACGTCACTTGCAATGAAAATCCAACACAAAAAAGGGTAATCACTGTAAGAATTACTATTGCTACTGTATAATAAAGTAGTCAAAAATAATTTACAATATACAGTAATATTATAGGCATAGGCTTTATTAAAATTACACAAAAATTATTACCTAAATAACTTAATTTAAATATGCATATAGGGTTTTAAATGAAATGTAAAGAGTTAATATTTCCAGCCGGGCCGATCCAGATTTTTTTTTGCCGGAGTGAAGCAAGAAATGCAGAAACCAGGATCGAGAAAGAAAGGTTTTGTGTTCCTTATTGTTGGGTCCATGGCGAACACCTTTATGTGAAAACTAACCGATAGTTGCCATCTATTTGTAGATCAAAGACATCTGGAAATGTAAATGTGAACAACGTGAGATGATCTCCGTTGCTGATGTTGTAAACTCGCATCAGACGGCCTTTACGACTGAAGTAATACAACTGACGGTATAAAGCATCAATCTCCATACAATTTACATCTAGACAGGAAAAAGAAATTTGTGTTGCGTTAGTAATGCCATGGAGCTATCTTCTTATAATGCCATAGTGAAACATACAATCAGATTTATTCATGTTACATTTTACTAAACCGTAAAATGGAGTAACTTCGGTAAGTTTCCACACGTTTTATAATCATATTTAAAAATGCACATAATACGCGCGAAATAATTGAATGGAAAATAAACTTTGGAGCTAGAGGGTAAAAAGGTTCTATTTTTTTTAATTTTTTTAATTTTTTCGTTTTGGTGTAGCTTAAGTCTTGGTCAGTCAGTACCGTAGGTCTATATTATTACGGTTGACAGCCACAATAAGACGCTGTCATGCGAAAAATAAAAGAAGTAAAACTTGAACTTGACACTAATGTTTAGAATAGTTTAGGAAAGCCATCCTCCTTCAAAAATATTTTCTTTAATGGAAACACGTTTTTTATCCCATTTTTTGGCATTTGGGGACTAAAATGTTATAAAAATAATAACCTTCAAACCTGTATTCAATAACTTCTTTCAGGGTTGTCAGTTATGTGAATAGGGCCTACTATCATAACAAATAGGCCTACTGGCCTAACAAAACCACAGAACCACACAAACTATATACAATCTTGATACCCGCTGACCGAAGTTAACCTGTACTAACCAAATTTATCTCATTTAGTAAGAATTTTTACTCAATATAGAATAGGTACAATATCAAGCGTTTGGATTTTGTGTCTTGATCACGTGTCTTTTAAGGAATATGCACATAATAATAACAACAACGATGTAATTGTTTTTACCTCAAAAACCATAGTATTAGAACCAAAAAGTGTCCCCTTAATAGGGGTGTCCCCTGAATATTCAGAGGATACTAACCAAAAACGTGAAATTGTCTCCTTCATAGGGTTTTTGGCATATTTTCGTATAATGATGACATAGATTCTTTATAATTTTATTTTAATTGACCTAAGAATAAGTTACAGGTTAATTATAACTAATTTATAATAATAATTTGTAATGCAATAAATAATTTTAGATTTAAAACATTTAAGATTTGAAATTAACAGATATGTAATTACTACAAAATTTGTATATGTTCCCGATATTGATTCTTTATTCGTGTACAATGGTTATAACCAAATATTCTTTTTTCAAATATTTAGCTTTCTATTTGATGCACAAGATAGAATACTATTAACAGATGTTACCAACATAGAAATCAGGGTACAGGCTGTCCGGATAGGTTAGAATGCTACCGTATATCAAATACACACAAAAAAATATCCATGGTTAATGGTCAAAATTGACAAGCTTATATTTATACGAAGTAACACGTACACTAGGCATCATCCAATGGCCATTCTAAACACGAAAATCATCTGACAGTAGGCCTATACTGTGGCACTCGAAGTACTGGAATGTACTACCGAGGATAATTCGAGAGTTCCAACCATTCTACTGTAAAAATTAAAATGACCAGCCATGCGTATCAGTGGATTTTCAGTCCATTTTATAAATTCTATACGTTGAGGGCGAAGAATGTTTATGCATTTGGTAATATTGCGTTGAGCCTAGCTTTAACTCGTTTGAAACGGTTTAGAAACCTTAAATTGCGTTAAAATGAAAGTTTAATGTGGCTGGCGGCCGCTACTTAACGGTTCTTAAATTTTAATTCACTAGTGGCATTTTCTACATAGATTAGTTTTAGGTTTAATCCGTAATGAAACCATCTCCTTGATACATGGCAAGTCTCCAAATCCCCCATGGAGAGCAAGGCCGCATTTAAACTTTATACACACAAACTCCCGTACGAACAAACAAAATAATTACACAAAAAACATAGGCATATCCTAAGTTGGATTATGGGCGGAAAGATAGTTTCGTGAATTTTGGGGGAAGGAAATGGTTTGGCGATGGTTTTTATGTAGGAAGGGTACGATCAAGTTATTTTTTTACATGGCCTGACCCTCCTCGGTCAAACATTTTTTTACATGGCCTGAACCCTCCTCGGTCAAACCACAATAAATCAATGCGTGACACTGTAAACAATGTAATGTGCTCAAAATCAGATAAAGCTTCAGTAAATAACGACAGTAAAATCATTATTCTCCCCTCAATTAAGCTGAAGTATGGGGTTATATTCACTTAGTGAGCTGGAGACTTTGATGATCTATGTTGTTACAGTTTTTCAGACCGGTAAGTTTCACATCCTCGACGTTATCTGACGCAATGTTTTACATTCACTGTCCTTTTAGGCTAAATTTGAAATAAGCATAATTATAAATTAATATAGATAATGGAAATATTATGGTTTTGTGTGTAGATGTGTGTGTGTGGGTGTGGGTGTGTCTGTGTGTGTGTAACGTTTACTTACATGATGTTGAATATATCTCTTCAATATTTGTTCCATCCATGTCCATTCGAAATACTTTTTTTTCAATCTTATCTGACCAATAAACTTTATCTCCCACTTGGTCGTATGCAATACCGCGTAATGTTGCTCCTACGGGTAAGGCGATTGATTTGCTGAGGTTCAGTGGTTGGTCTTCAGTTTTTAAGCAAGAGTAGAAAATTTTAGCACTTTCACGATCTGATGCCAGTACCATATAACCTACGACACGTGAGGGAAATCATAACACAACGTAAAACATTTATTCCATTGACCTTATCTGATCTAAAGGCAAGAATGTGAGATACGTGCTGGATGTAAGGTGACAATATGAAAGCTAATATTTTACTTGAGAGACACGAGTCTATGGATGAACAAATTATTTATTTATTAAATTTAGAATGCCATTGGATTAATTTAGCGCACTGGTAGAACCTTCCTAATATTGTGTCCAAAAGCTGTGATGGTTTAAAGTGTAAGTACTCGTCATTTTACTAAGTTGAGTCGAAATACTCGAGTTATAGTTGGTAGCATATGTTACCTACAGAGTTACGTTATGTGTAAAACATGCAACTATTCTACAGTATGTATCGGGGTTTTTTTAAATTTGATATTGTATTGGGTTGATAAGTGTTTTCACATAAATGGTAGTGTGTATGTTAAGAAAAAAAATGGCTTAATATGGTTACTGAAACTAATGAAGAAATAAATTCCTATAGAATGTCAATACCCAGTGGGTTTGTTTAAAGAAAAATTATTATTTCATTTATTATATTACAATAATGATTGCTTACCTGCATCGTCTGCATTTGCACAGTGAAACGCGCTGATAAACAACCACAGTACGAACATTGTTGCCAGCAGTTTCTGTAGGCCTATTTACCTGAAATTATACATGTACAACAAATTGATTCAAACATATTTTGATATTACGTCAGGTATTCAATTTATATATATGGACATTAAACTAATTGTGTTTATGTGTTTTCTAATCTGGTGTTCATGTTGAGAGCATTTAATTCGATAAATGAGATCAAAATTAAGGTAAAGAGCAAGTACTGTCCACAACTCTCGTTTGGACAGTATTGAACACATTCGATTTTAAACTGTAATATAAATTTCTTTTTTTTATTTAATTTTGGTAATTTAAATCATTGTGGTCGCTATATTTCTGTTGTAATTTGTAGAATGCAGGCCGTCCAGATTATATTTGTTGTTAAACTCTTGAACATATTTCTTAAATGAGGACACCTAAAAATTAGAACCAACAGGATCAGGAACCTGCTTCAACAACGGTACAATTCTATGATAGAACGAAGATTTGTGAGCTTCGGGGGGATGGGGCGGTCGGGGTGTCCGAGTTGGAAACCACATTATTCAGGCAGCAAAGGTCGTAGTGGCCAAAACAATAAGCTCCGTCTTATTTGTTTGTTTATTGTTTTTTATACACAAATATAGTAAATTTAAGATGGTGCAATACTAGTTATACATAAAAAACGGACTGAGAAGGGGAAAAACAAGTAAATAAAAGTGTGTGGACGGAGACCAAAATAAGTTTGAAAATAAAATTTACGGCATTGTCACCGGTTAAAATCATAGTTTCCAAAAGAAACAAAATAAAAAAAAAAACATTTTTATTACCATCTTGTATGCTATCAAGTTTCAAACCAAAATCGGATTTACAAAATTTAGTTAACGTGTAACAAACAAATGTCTAACTACATCGTAGTTCTGGGGTCGAAAGCCTGTCAGTACCTAAGTTCTGTTTCGATTGTGTAATATGGCCGCTTGACTTGCCTATATTCTATGTTTAACTTACGTAGCAATAATTTTAACTTAATTCTTCCAAAATAACCTATTAGGCCTACTGCGAAATCCAAATTGACAACTGAAATTAATCTTCATAAGCCGATGATGATATGATGATGATGTGATGATTCTAGAACGAATTCAGCAGAAGTTGGATCAAAATTGATATCTCCCTGCAATCAGTTGGCTTTATTGGTACTTCGGGCCCTTCTTAGCTAATTTCGCTGCACATCAACAGCGTTAGGAGCACTGACTGTTATCACATCATTTCATATCATTTATTTCACCAGTATAACAACACACAAAAGGTACGGATGACTGGCAGGTTGCTCAAAAGCAATACAACGTTACTGATACAGTACAAAAGTACATCATGGTGATAAGTGCTAGATTAAAGTTTAAAAAGTGCTCACTTTTATCTTTAGTACTTCTGATTTGATGCTATCTGTAACCCACGCCTTTTCTATTTTTATAGAGTCCGTCTGTTGTTTGATATAATACGAATTACACGTCTGTTATAAATACACCCTCAAATTATTATTAAAGAACAGAAAGCTTAATTTATTTATATATTATACAGGCCTACTCTGAATGAAAGTATCTTTTTTTTTATATATTTTACCTGATAGTACGGTAGTGGGTTCCAATTTATTACTCAAGAAAACCAGAACAAACAAGACGACGAACTTTTCCCTGTTGTCTCAACTAATTTATGACGACTTGTAAGTCTGTAGCTTTGTTTATAATTAAAAGTTGTTCGCTTCACCGCCTCCAATTTGGACAACCTGTTGTAACATGGAATTCTTCGTCAAAACAAATTAGCAACAATCGATTTATACAAGGCTATCTAATACCCCAACAAATTTTAATTCAAACGAAAAAATTTGCTTCAAGAATGTGTAATTTAAATTAAAATGGTTCTCTAGTAATGTAACGTCATCGCTCACCAGCAAGCAAGTACGTCTCATAGAAATAAGGTAGCACGCGAAGCATACAACATTGCATGGAATCACATCACCAACTCCTTTCAGTCTCTTAAACATCGTAATCGAGCATCAAAAATCACTTTCAATAAATATAGTTTGGTCCCTGTTCTATAGAATTCGGTGTTATTATCCCAACCCTCCAGGGGAATACGTGCAGAACAAATGCTTTGTTCCGCTCCCACTTTCCCTATTTAGCTTTTTCCCCACCTTATAATACTTGTTAAAACAATACCAATCGCATCAGTTTGCTCTCCCCTTTGCTAATTTGTCATTTCTAGGCATCATTTTTTAATGTAGGCATATCATTTTTATAATTAGTTTTGTTGTCACGTGTTTCATCATCGATGGCATTGTGTTGAAAATATATATTTGATTAAAATAGATTTTTTCATCGTGTGTTGTTAAAACTGACAATTGAAGAAATACTGTTTAACATTATTAGACTCATGATCATTTCAACTCCCCAATTTCATTTCGTACAATTTTGTGGTCATTTAATATGGGCGGCCATTAGGGTCGAAATAGAAAAAAAAATCGCCGTAAAGATAAATCCAACTACGAAACGGTCAAATCCATCACCGTAAGGAAAGTTCCAGGTAAAGAATTCCGATCCACTTCTTCAGGAAGTGCTTTGTAAAGCATCATTTAAAAAAATTTGATTTGCATACATTGTTAAGAGTAAAATGAAACCGCAGGGATGGAAGAAAATATTGAGAATAATTGAGTGTTTTATTGTAATGTTAATGGATGTAGACTTGTACAGGGCATACCACTAGGTCTCTGTGCTTTCAACAAATTTCCAAATTTAACAAAATAAACAAATATAAGATGAAGAAGAGACAAAAGAAAAGAAAAACAAACATCAATAGAGAAAAACAATTAAATGGATGATAAAAAATTAGTTTTGAGTCTGGCCTTTCATACATAGAGAAATGAATGGAGATTCTCATATACAAATGGCAAGAGAGTATAGGAGCGGCGACGTTAAAAGAGCACTCACAGTACGAGTTCAGCTTGCAAGTACGAGTAGAAAGTGTATGAGAGCTAGAGGTGAATTGAAGTGAACAACAGCAGGTTTTGGAGCGTAACTGAATAGGATTGGAAATATAGGAAGGGGCCTGACAATAGAGAGCTTTATAAATGAAAAGTATTTCTTTTATATTCTGATCAGTGTTATGTATCAGTGGTGGCGCCAGGATTTGCCCGACCGGGATGGGGGGGGGGGGGTGGTGTCCAGGATCCGACCCCCAGTTGAAGTTAATAACAGATCCAGAAATTGAAAATGTTCGTAACAGAGTAGGTATCCGTCCCAAGACAAAATGAGCATTAGGAGACCTGCTAACATTGAAGGATAACAAAATTTTACCAGCTTTATCTTCAATCCCATAGACTCAGACATACAATTTCTTAGTAAGTCTTTGAAAAGTGGAATTATTTCTGGTGACGAGACAAAAATCATCAGTGAACGGAGTTAGTGTGATTAAATTCTGCAATTTTGAGGCCAAATGCTCAATAACAAATAGGGCCTACTAGTGAAAATCACCATGTGGTTTGGTAACTTGACAAAAGAAAAATGTTGTTCAGGCTGTTCACAATGTTTATTTATTGATTGATTTTTTTTTTTTTCTTTTTTGGTCGGGGAGGGGAGTGGATCAAAGTGACCAGATATGGTTAGTTTGACGAAACCTCTCTACTCACTTCCTTCAGCATTGTTCCATTTGACTCGCGTCATAAATATTATACTTTATGTTCTCTCCCTAACATTACACAAGAGCCTGACCATCCCTTATATTCATTTCTTCCACCTTGACGACATTCCTCCATCGTATTATGTAATTCTCGACATTCTGCTTTCCTGTCCTTCCATGCTTGAACTTCTTGATTTCACACTTTTTCTTTTGCTCTGGGCCTTTCATCAGCGGTAGCATCACAAATTTGCTGACAAGGGGTCTGACGTGTCCGACGGAGGAGTCCTAACCAAGGCAACGACGAACCCTCAGTTGACGGCCCTGAATAAAAAAAATCCCTGTTGGAGTTCACAGGAGAGAGTTTTTATTACTTAAATTTGGTCCTAAATGTGCGTTTATACCACAATATTAGGGATTGGCAATCAAAATAGAGTGTTATTTGGATAGGAAAATTATTGTTTTGCCTATCCTAGTCGTTGGTCGGACGACAAGGGGTCCAGGCCTGTCCGACAAGGGAAAATTTCCCCTGCCCCGTTGGCGCCACCATTGCCTTTCGTACAACCTCGCTCTCAATCCAACCTCATCCTCTCCTCTGACATTATAATCACTCTTCTTATGTAGAGGCCCTATTATAGTTCAGCATAAATTACCCCTTGTATATATTTATTGTTGTATTGTATTAATTGTTATTGTGTGTTTAGGAGTGGATCCAGAATTTTTCAAATGGGAGCCACAACAGTTTCCGAATAGATAAGTGAAGAGCACATAACATTGATATGCATTCAAACTTTTAAAATTTTGTAGCAAAAGTGGGGCATGTGCTCCCCGTACCCCCCTACAGGATCCGTCCCTGGTGTTTGGCGGATAATAGCTTTTGATGGGTAATGAAATTAAATTAAATTGAAAAAGAACAAAATAAGCAATCATCACAATATATTCAACAAAAACGACTATAATATTTATTCATTCAACATCCCTGAAAGATCCAATGTCATTGTTGTATAATAATTAAGCTAATAATTAATCCCATAACAAAAATAATGAACATAAATCAATTAATAGCTTTCAATATTTTTATATTCTACAACCTGGTCAGAACTGGGAGACTTCAGATAAATAAATTCAAAATTTTGATTGAAAGGTTACTCTGATCTATTGTCTTTGATATTTATTGGGCAAAAATGTGATAATAATTATGATTATCATTCAAAGAAAAAAAAATTATATTTTACAATAAACTTATTTATATTACTTTGGCATTGGTTCAAAATTAAATGTAATTTGATTTTGATAAACAAATTAATGAAGGTGACAGACTACCATTGTAAATAATAGAACAGGAATAGTATGTGGAAATGGATGCAAGCACAAAATCTACAGGACCAATATCAAGGCAATTCAACAGTTGAATTAATTACCTTAAAAGCACAATAACAGGAGAATAAATAAATTTTAAAAACCATAAAATAAAAAGGTGCCTGATACATTAGCAAATGTATTCAATTGTCATGTTTTAATCCCAATTTCATTCAGCTATTGATCTTTTATGGCTCAACTGTCATTCAGAATTGTAATTACGAGAAGTAAGTAGACAGTTTATTATTACTGTTTAACACAATTTAATGCATTTTTGAATAAAACATTCATTTTGCTATTGTTGATTTATTTAGCTGTACCACATTGCCACCTAATGGGTTAACATAAAACTTTAATACAGTGAAGCTGAAGTATCAAGGCCTTATAACAATCAAATAAAAACTAGGCCAAGTCAACAAAGTCTTTGGGTAGAGGTAAACGTCACCAAGGCAATGAAGCATGGCCTTATGGGTAGAAGCAAATTTTACCAAGTCAACAAACCATGGTCTTATAGGTAGAGGTAAACTTTACCAAGGCAATGAAGCATGGCCTTATGAGTAGAGGTAAACTTCACCAAGGCAATAAAGCATGCCCTTATGGGTAGAGGCAAACTTTAACCATGCAATGAGGCACGGCCTTATGGGTAGAGGTAAACTTTACCAAGGCAATGCGGCATGGCCTTAAGGGTAGATACATCCAAGGCAATCAACCATGGTCTAATGGGTAGAGACAAACTTTCCCAATGCAATGCCTTATGGGTTGAGGCAAACATTACCAAGGCAATGATGCATGGCCTTAAGAGTAAATACAAGCTTTACCAATTGCAATGCCGCATGGTCTTATAGGTAAATGAATCTGTAACCCAGAAATGTAGCATGTTATTATTGCAAACTCATAGGAGTAGGAATTGAATATCAACAAAGCTTCAAATTCAACAATCTAATTTAGAAAAACATGTGACATGCCTAAATATTGTCATGATGACATCACATCACCTTATGAAACAAACTTTGGCTAAATGACCTTCATAAATTGCAAAAACCACATTCATTATCTTTCAAAATCAAAGTTTAAAACATTCTCAATTTCATACACAATAATATTTCATATTAAGTTACAGTGTATTTCACAAACATATGATAATTATTCAGTAGAATTTTAATTGTGTGAGTATATAAATGTAACCTTAATGGGGCTAGAGGTCCAGTAAATGTATATGTGGATCTTCTACTGCTGATTTTATCTTGCGCAAGAATATGACCGCTTCTCGTCCATCAATTAAACGATGATCATATGTCAAAGCAACGTACATAATGGGCCTGATCTCAACCTGAAATATTTTTAAAAATTAAAAAAAGTTTAAGAATTGTGTTAAAAATGTTAAATCAAATTATACTACAAATTATTATTATTATTATTCTTTTAACTGTCATTTAGGGTTAATGTATTACAATACAAATTTGGAGTCGGCATTGCTTTACGTCCCCGTCGTTCACGCTGGATAATTCTTTTGAGCTAACAAAATTTGCAGCAAAGCATTTAAATATTTACTTCAGCTAAGTCTGCTGGTGGCATACCTTACCAACTGCCAATTTTAAACAATATTTAAACATACGAGATAATAATAATAATACAAATTGCATTCAAATTGAGAGTTAAATCAGTGAATCGCAAGTCAATTATGAGTTACAAGTCTCCGGGTAATCATCTCTTGCACTCCTGCGAGCGAGCAAAAATCTTCTAGAAACTACCCTATCTATCTCCCACAAATTGAAAATATTTGCGTCTTTGTACTACTGTATTTTATTTTTATTTTATTTGGCTTTCCACTGAAATCTTATATAAATACATAAACAAAACAGAAAAATTCCAGCGAGGGAACATGTCAACAGGTGAAAGCACCTCTAAACCATAGAGAAAATCTCTGTCTAAACCGACACATTCTCTTAATGCACATGACCGAACAGCAAATACATAAAAATATAATAAGTAGAGAAAATGTAACTCAACAAACAAAATTGCACAGTTCTACATAAAGGACAAAAACATTTTGTGTCCCAGGCGCACGTGCTGGCCAGGTCAAACTCGTTGACAAACAGAAGCTCATAGAAGGTGCATAAGGCTCGCTTGGAACTAGATATTGTGGACACATAGGATGAGGTAGTTGGTTCTACATGGGAACGATTCGATTGAAGTAAAATCTTCTATAAGTTTCAGTTGTGCAAATGCTTGTCAACGAGTTGAGATGGTCAGAATTGCGAAGTGAACATGGAAGAAACGAGGGAGTCATTAAAAACAACAAAATTATCAAAATCCAAGTCATAATAATCAAAGAAACATTTTGAAAAATACATAAGGTCAAGTTGTTGTCTCTGAAAGGAAAAAGGAAGTGAAGTAAGATGAATAAGGAGTTCTTTGTAGTTGTAAGCAGGATAGTTAAGAAAGGAAGCAGAAAGCTCAGCACTACATTTCTTCATTAAGCATGAGCTTGGATTTTGTCGAACCACTCCATACAGAGCTTGCATACTCTATGTCACTACGGATAAGAGATGTGGAAAATGGTTTGGTGACACACGGGTGTAATAATGTTCTCCATTAAGATAGCTGGCAATGGGTATGATCACAAACAGCACAATAGAATGAAATGCGTTAAGAAAGCTTATTAAATCAAATATCCTTGATATGGACATAATACTTCAATGGTTGACTTACCTTTCCATCGATAGCAACAGGCCTATCAACAACAGCATGCATGCCGAGGATTGCTGATTGTGGAGGGTTAATGATGGGGGTACCAAACATCGACCCAAAAACACCTCCATTGCTGATGGTAAATGTACCCCCATCCATATCCTCAATAGCTAGTGTGCCTGAGCGTGCCTAAGAAAAACAAATCAAGTCCGATTATCAAACAGTTTTGCATTAGGATCATTGACCCTCTGTATAAGGGTAATGTCAGATTGTACAAATATAAAGGCATCAGGCAGGGATAATATATATTGGTGATTTTGGCCATAATAATATTAGGCAGGGGTAAAGTGACAACAGTCTTTGGGAAAATGAGACAACCTCCAGCAATCGGGCAAGTAAGAATCACCCAGAAAACAATTCTCCAGCAAATTCATAGTATTTGCATCCTGTAGATTATAGGGACTACGCGCTATATAAGACAGTGGATAGGAATACAGTACCCAACGCTATCTCAGTACTGAATGTGCCTAGCTGTTGCCATTCCTAACCTTCTTTATCATTACCGAGGTACCATACCTCTAGACACATTTATTATTTTAATATTCACCTTGACTCCCAATTCATTAATTGTTCGTTCAATGTCTGCAAAGTTCATCTTGTTGACATCTCTAATAACAGGAACAACTAAACCCTGCAAGAAAATAAACCACCAATAATAATGGCATAAGAAATGCACAAAACAATGCCTTCGAGCAGCAGACTTAGAATTTGATCTGCCTAGAGTAATTGAAAACGATGTATGTGGAGTTTTGATCCAGTTAATAAAAATACATGAACTGCACACGCAATTCATTTAAACCAGTAGTACCACTAGAAAGCAGCCTCTACTGTATATGAGTGAGCCCATAACCTACCTTAGGAGTAGCCACAGCAACACTTATATCAACATAATCATGATAGACAATGTCAGTGCCATCAATAACTATGGAAAGAATTAACATATGTCATTATAAAATTAAACACAAATCACATATAATACTGTAACAGTCACATGAACCAGTTTGCACTGGAATTCTTTGGGTAAAACTGACCAGGTACCTGTTAGTTTGGCCAAAAAAAAAAATCCAATCCGAACAGGATTTAAGAAAACAAGGGAAAGGGTTAAGAGGACAAGGCAAGAAAAAGATGTATATTGAGCTAAACCCTAACATTTTACAGGGTGGGAGCTTCCTTGATGTGTTCTTGCGCATTCACAGTCAGATAATTCCCAAATATCATGTATATATTAATTTAATTTTCATATATATCATGTATATATGAAAATTAAATTAATATATACATGATATTTGGGAATTATCAGACTGTGAATGCGCAATCTTTATATTACAAAATTTTCAGAAAAAATTCTATTGTTTACTTCATTTCTGTTTGTTTAAGGAAAAATTATAAATGATATTGATACTTACTTTTCTTTTTTGGCGGCACATTTTCTTTTTCGACGGGTTGACTCTTCTTAGCTATATGAAAATTAAATTAATATATACATGATATTTGGGAATTATCAGAAAGTGAATGCACAATGTATATACTGTCTCTTATACACATCTAGATGTGTATAAATGCAGATTGTTGTTCAATATAATATATGCAAACGTCATGGGGATATCCCCGGGATATCCTCATTTGTTTACAGTGACGTCAACAAGCCGCTGTCAGCGGCTTTCCGCTCAAACTGCATATTTTATCAGCGCCGCTATGAGCGGCTCGCCGTAGCGAAAGAGTTAAGAAAGGAAAACTTTTCATCTGCCAACAAATCTCTCTCGGCTCTCTGTTAGCACTTGGGAAGGCAACGCCATCTGCTGATGGTTGGTGGCACAATGATGACATCATATCTGACTTTATTTATCCATCCACACTATCAAATTCTATGTATTCTATGTAACAAAAACATGTGATATGCCTAAATTTGATAATGATGACATCATATCATGACCATATATAGGCACATCATGACTATATATGGGCATACAATAGCTTTTTGTCAAAGAAAATTTGATAGTCTGGACAGGGCTTCAGTCAAGAATACTTTGCATTGGCAAACGAATCCATTCCTTCTCTCTGTTAAGTCCTGTCCACACTATCAAATTTTATTTGACAAAAACATGTGACATGCCTAAATATGGTCATGATGACATCATATCATGACCATATATAGGCACATCATGACCATATATGGGCATACAACAGTTTTTTGTCAAGGACAATTTGATAGTCTGGACAGAGCCTTAGGACTTATATTAATTAGATTACTCTGTGTTCAAAGTTATTATGAAGATGATGACATTACAAATGTTAATTAGATCATTTACTTACCCTGTGTTCTGTTGGGACACCAGTAGATTGAGCAAGCCCAGTTGTAGGGGTACTTTGTGCAGCAATTGGTTTTACTTCAGAAACTATTTAAAAAAATATATATATATCTCAAGAATTCTCTTTTATGACAAAATCATAAGCATATTGCAGATTAATAATTAGAATGATATTACTAATAATGTATTGGTCATCAAATACATCACCTTCCACGCACCATGTGCAACCTCTGGTCCTACACAATATTATCAGTCAAGCATTTAATTCACCAACTGACCTGTTCATAGTTGTAACTTTTATAATGTTTAAAATAATTTGAAAACGTTTTATTAAGGTTTTAACTACTTTAATTCTAATGCTAAACAATTGTTTGCTGCAATACTGTAATTTATGATATAAATTATTTATCTAAGGTATTTTTAAATTTTTACATTTTTTACATTTTATTTTCATTGTCATTTGCATGTTTTTTTAATATACCGATCTTGTCTCTTTTTTGTGAATTACTGGCATTGTACTGTATTTATACATTTTTTATTTATCTGCCAAGCAGTACAATTTTCTGTATTTCTATACAATTTCTTGAGTCTTCTTGAATCTTGAATTTATACCCTAGATGGTATGAGAAGTAGAAAAAATGCCTTGTTGAAGGACACAAGCAATATATGACAATAGCATTGGACTACAACCCTTTTTGGTTGGAAGGCCAGAGAATTACCATTATGCCACACACTACCACAGTATTCCCTTAGCAATGAGTGGAGTTGAATAACTTGGTGGAGGATGCTTGCCTTCTAATACCAATGTGCTAGGTTCAACTCCTGTCATGGTATAGCATTTCCTTCTAGGATACCAAAAAAATAACTACACTCCCTAAGCCTCTAAATGAGATTTAGTTTATGTAGAGCCCAGCTTCCCAAACCATTTTTCTCTGGAAGCTAAGTTGTGATTTCCCACATAAACCTTGCCAATCACCGCAGTTAGTCTTGTTTTTCATTTTCTGTATAATTGTTATGTTATGTTTTTGTTTGGCAGTAAAAAAATAAGAATAAGAAATAAAAAAAAAAATCACCAATCATGTATATATGTTTGTCTTGTGTTATAAAAACAGAGCCCAATATAAAGCAGTAACTGATACTGACTGGGTTTTACCTTTATTGAAGATTATATATATATATTTTTTAAATAAAATTAACAAGTGTAATTTTTTACCAGGCTTAGAAGACATTGGTGCTGTTGGTGTTGGTGGTATTGGTGGAGGTTGTGTAGGGATAGGTCCGGCAGTGCTTACTGGTGGAGGAGGAGGAGGTGCAGTTTCTGCTGGTTTTTCAGCTGGTGTAGCAGCTGCTGGTGCATCCTGAGTTGGAACATCTTAGAAACAAAATAAAATCTACATTAAAACAATAATTAAAATACAATATATGTCTATTTTATCAGATTATTATTATTTATTTATTAATATTTGTTTGTATTTTTAATTAGAGTATGAAATAAATAATAAGATAGATAATGGATCTTTCCACTGTTTCAACATGTATTATATCAGCCTATCTGACAATTTTCAACAGATATGTAGACACATAATTTGTTCAGATTTCTGCAACAAGCATACACTATTATACAAAATCTGATCAAATAACTGTATGGCGAATCTGACAGACTGATTGTGTAATCCCAAATTTAGTTTAATAATGAACTAAAGCACATCACTTGCATCCTAAACGTGGACAGTCATGTGCTGTTGAAATGATATGAATATTTTTAATTACTATAATAAATTATTTTTTGCAAGCACAATGTTTTTTTTTTCAAAATGATTACACTATAACTTGTTAGGACAACAGGCATCATGTTTTATTACTGCACTACTTTTCTCCAATGGGATTTTCCTATCGCACAAGCGACTGAAAACAATCTATCCTTCACCATTACCTAATTATTTCAAGTAAAACAATAGAATGTTTAATAGTTTCTTACCAGAAAGTTTGAGCTTAAATAATTGTTGTCCAGCAACAACTGTATCACCGTCTTCCGCAAGGAACTCTAGAATAACACCACTAGCGGGTGCTGGTACAGGTATTGCTGTCTAATATAAACAATAATATGCATAACAAATTAAAATCAATAGAGAACACACTGTAAAACCCTCTCTCTTTTAGTGCATGTTTTGAAATGGATGGCCTCTTACTATTGTATGTGTCTATGCCCTATACTGCCTTCCTGTATTGTGTTTTGTGGTGTTGTATTTTTTTCATGACTTTTTCATGATAGTAATAAGGTACTTAAGATAACACATGACCCATCATGCACCTCCACCGGATTTACCCTTTCCGCCATCTTAAATTGCCAAATCATAACATAGGGGCACAGACACAAAAAACAATGTTCTTCTATTGCACTCTTCCGTGATTTTCAGCATTGTACTTGGCAAATTTTACGAATACATTGTACATCTCACTGTCATGGAATTATTAAAGTTTTCAATTTTGCAAGAGGGCGCCGTTCATGCGTTATTACAGAATTTGCATGCGTAAATCGCGGAGAACACTATCTTGTGTTTATAAGATCTTTGACGATATTGTTACAAAAGTGATGTGAATATATATACTACCCTATTCCTAGGCGAGCAATTGACAGGTAGCTTTTATTTTATTTTAATTTTTTGGCTTTTTTTTGTTTTAAAAGTTGCATAATTTAATTCAGTGCACAAGTGTAAAAGTATTCCGGGTGTTAGGCATTAAAATTCATGAATGAAATACCTTGTCCGTTTCAATTTCTCCAACTGTTTCATCTTCTTTCACAAAATCCCCAACAGCTGAGTGAAAAAAAATTACCAAATCATGTACAAAAACCAAACAAAACAATTAAAATTAGAAATACTATTTGTTAAACATATTACAGTATATATAATGCACATATTGCACAAATTTTGAACTTGGTTATAAATGTTTTTTACCACTGTGCAAAATACTGATCTAACAGAATTTCGTGTTCCTGGTTATATTACTTAACTATTATAATATTTCAGATAGTCACAATTAAGTTGAGGCGAGACTTTTTTATGCCTTATTTAGCGAACCAGCCGCCTGCCAATAATGATGATTTCGAATAAAAATAAAATTTTATTTTTCGCCAATTAGGGCACCCACTGCCCTAATTGCTTTTCTTTAAATAGACCATTAAGTTGGTTGGCTATCAGCTCAAAAACATGAGTGTTAAGCTATGTCCAGACTATTAAATGTTCTTCGACAAAAAATGGTCATGATGTGTCTATATATGGTCATGATGTGCCTATACATCGTCATAGGTTTAAGATTTCCCACACAAATAATATATACGAGTGGTACTGGGTAAAAGCAACTTGATTTCTTGCTTCGAACAATTTTCGTTTGAAAAAAACTTTTGTATGCCCCATACCATAAAACTTTTTTTTTTGCAAAATTTGGATGGGCTTCTTTTCGAGTCTACTTTTCAATATGCATGCTGTGAATTTTGGGAATTACAACAATGAAACAATAAATAGGGCCACTGTAACATTAGTCTGTATCATGGAGTGTATTAACCCGCTTTAAATCACCTAAACTACTGTATAAACCAAGCATGTTTTTAATCTTTTTTGTTTCTTTGAAATTCATGTACAGTGTTTGTAGAGTGTATGTGATGCTATCTTGAAAAGAAGCCCATGGGCTTCTTTTCGAGGTTGTTTTTGCAAGCTAAAGAAGGGGCCTTCAATTCGAGATGGGCTTTTTCTTGAGATTAAGCCCATTGAGCTTCAATTTGAGGTTTTACGGTATATAGTCATGATGTGGCTATATATCATCATGTGATGTCATGACCACATTCAGGCATGTCACATGTTTTTGTCAAAATTTGAGTGTGAACAGGACTTTAAAAGGTTTTAAATCAATTACCATTGGAAGTAACTTTGTTGAAAATATTAATTAATTGTAGACTTTACCTTTATCCCACCTAACATCACCTTCAGAAACAGACTCAGCAAATGGTGGAGTTTCAACTATTCGCACTTCATCATCTGCAAGAAAAACAATGACAGACTATTGGACCAAATGTAATCATTATCATACACCTTTTTTTTGGGGGGGGGAGGAGGGGGAAGAGGTTGGGAAGCTAAATTACTGGTTGGTATTATCAAAAAAGATTCACTAATCTACCATATGCCTACATAAAAGTCAGCGTGAACAAAGTCACGTTGTCATAGCGACCTCGATGACTAACTACACAATTAACTTTGCTTGCACTTTTTTAAATGGCATAAACAGGGTTTGCATCGAGTAGTTAGATGATTTAAAAAATAATCATTACATTAAATTCAAATTTAATTTTATTGTTACCAAGTATTGCAAGAATCATTATTTTTAACAATAATCTAAGCAAATGCCATGAGAAACTTGTCTAAACTGGTACGTCACTTAGACCCCAACATGGTGTCAGTGGCCTCACTAAAAACAGACAATGAGCAATCCAGTTATTACAGTAGAGATCAGTATATCCTCATGTTTTACTTTTTTTCCTTTCTTTTATGTTTGTATTCACTAAACTATTAAAATAATACAATTCAGAAGGGGCACGTACATGATAAAAACATGCTAGGCCATGTACACTACGTCATACTCTCTATAATGAACAAATTTTAAATTTTTGTATTAATAATAGTCAAGAGTTAGCCTGTTTTTAACCATTCTATAGTCACCATTGGCCAGGCCATCATCTCAAGACTTTTAGACTTTTACGAATGAACCAAAGCCCTAGCAAGTCTGTTTTTAAGGATTTTGGGGGTCTACCAGCATTCTTATGATTACACTTTCATCAAACAAAAGTTTAACATCTGGCAATACCTGACAACACAAACCAATGAGTAAGGTTATATAGAATGCCATTTGCTCAATATGTTAATATAAGTCAAAAGTAGTAGGTTGCCAAACTGTATTTTTTTGTTAGTAATGCTGCATTTGTTCAGGTAGGTTCACAATTATCTTTCTCTCTATTCTCTTTTAAATTATTGTTTTTGTTTTTTTTAATGAAAACGGAAAAAACACTAGCATTTATTTAGTCTGTGAGAGTTTAAATAGGTTTTGATCACTATTGGAGGGGCTGATCCGGGGATGGATGGCAAAAGCAAACTACATATTTCATTAAATCTGTTATTGATATGACAAGAAACAACAATTATGTGCTGGTTAGGTAACATATTTTCAGGTTAATTAAACTGGAGGAGAGCACTGTAAATCCAACAGCAGCTTAAAATGCACTAGACAAGTACAGTAAATTGCTGTAAATACGAGGCTTAATAAGTGCGTCTCCAAATCACTAATTGTGGACCCAGAGGGCCAAGTTGACGCCCGCAAGTGACCACACAGCTACAGTCTGTCCAAACGCGCATAATCTCAACCATAAATAAGATTTAGTAGTCCGGTGTGGTGCGACGAAAACAGCGTAGTCAAACAGACGTGTACAGCAAACCGACCAATAGCAAAACTTCACATGAGCAAGTTAGGATGTTTGTTGAAAGTGTGGTCTAGGTGATTGGATTATGTGACATAGAAGCATTGATGTTTATCAGGCAATAATGAAGCTGTTTAGTAGTGTCTTGTCCCTAGTGTATACAGCAGCCTACATAATCTCATACAGCACTTAACACTAGCTGAAGACTGTCCCTCTTGATGGGCTAATTGATCAAGATTAATCTAAACTGCTTTTAAAGGCAATTAGCCAAGTCATCACGCGACAATGATTTATTGCGACTTCTTAAGAAATGATTGCAGAAACAAAAGCGGTTTTAATTTTAATGATGCAATTAATTGCACACGAATACAAAGATGTTTTCTCTATAGATCAGCCACTTAATAGGTGACGTTTTCTCGGAGAAGATGAGCTTGCTGTGGCATTAAATACATCTGTAGTTCACACACAAACAATAATCATGTATCGTGTTAGATTTCAATCACACTGAGATAAGTTACTCAGCAAGTAATTCAATATCATGTACGTTGTGTACTTAATCTATTAGGATCAATTATATGCTTCAATTCATTAATAATAAGATTAAGAAAAAAAAAATCAAAATTAACAAATTTTGCTTTTTGATGGATTTAAAATATACAGTAAATAAGCAATTACTCAAACACCTTCACTAATGACATCATTATATTTTTAAAAAGTCTAAATTGATTTTCAAACCTATTATTTGCCTGAATAAAATATGAGTATCTTTAATAATAAATAATTAATAAATTACATGTATATTATGATTGGAATGCAATTAATAAATTTTATATTATGCAGTATTAAAAAAAAATATAGTAAAAAATGCTCTAAAAAGTATTAATAAGGCAATTATGCAATACTATTCATAATGCATACATATTATATGGTTGTAGACTTATATAGTGCATAATATATTACTGTATTTAATCGAATAAACACATTTACAGTGAAATTAAGATCGTTTGTTTGAGCATACGTATCCATTTTACACCAAAAAAATAAACACCTCCCTTGATTAAACGCCCCCTCAAAAACAACAAACACCCCGGGGAATTTATTTAAATAAATATGATATAATATTGTAATACTAATGCTCTCTGAAAGCTCAAGCATTTATTTGCTGTTTATCATGTTTAAACATTTCTTGAATTTTGAATGTTCTAAAATACATGTAGGTATTTATGTTCAGAATTCAAACTACAAAACAATAATTTTTTATTTTTCAGTAATAATTAATAAGCAAAAAGCTTATACCCGACATGTGACTGCAGAAATCTGTAAAGAAACTTTAGCACGATATGCAAATGGATTGCTCGTATCTTATTACAAAGCAGTCACTTAGAACACTCCATTAAATTATTAATACGGCTCAGGACTGAATCAGGCTTTATTCCTAAGAGAATTCACTGCCTAAAAGTGGATGTCATCCGTAGATAGTTCCATCAACTATCTTGAGAATGCTATATCATAAATTTGCCTGTAATTCAAATCTGTTTCTGTCAGTTTGCTCCACTGCGGGGTTCAATTCTGTCCATCGCACACTACTTTATCCAGCATAAATACCATATTGGCAAAAGCAAAAAAAGCGTCACTATATTAAACGATTATGTAAGAATGTCAAACTACTCTAGAATATCGAGTTTGTAATCTCAGTCATTTGTGATATATTAATCTGGTTAGTACTTTGATTTTTTTTTTATTCCTTTTCGAATAATGCCCTGAAACTTTACAATTAGTCAAATACAGTAGATTGATTTGATTTTTTAAAAAAAATCACCAATTAATATTGTTTTACCTTAAAGTAACAAGCTCACTCTTAATTATTTTTGTTATCATTACTATTTAAATTATCTCCTACATGGTCTGATTACAAACTAATTGTGTTATTTCAAAGTTTAATTAGTAAATGAAAATTTTACGTTAATGAGTATTAAATTACCTTTAGACAAGACTTTTTTATACCGTTTTTGCGACCTTATTTTTGTTTAAATCGTCAGAAGAGGGCAGAAAAAAAAATAAAAATAAAATTTGGGTTTTTCAATTAGCACATAGTTGTGCCAAAAACATAAAAACAGAGGAGAAAATAAATATAAATTTTATTGGCGTGTGTAAACGGTGTAGTAATGGAATGGTTAAATGCTTTAAATTTGTGTAATTAGGAAGAAATACACATTTAAAGACGGCAGCTGGCGTAATGGAAATAAAGAAAAACATTTATATTTTTCTGAAATATCCATTTTCTTTGTGGTGGCGGGTGTACTAATTGGCCAAAAATAAAATTTTATTTTTATTCAAAATCACAATTATTCGCAGGCGGCAAGCTGGTTAAACAAGGTATAAAAAAAAGTATAAATTATTAATGTGTCTATCAAAATCTTACAATCCTTGTACATTTTTTGTATTTCCGGCTAAATCAAGCCATAAACAGTTGTGTTGCTATAATGAACAAAAAAAAAAAGAAATTGAAATTTAAAGTTGTTTGGTTGGGAATAGTTTTTCTTCTTCATTATTCTAGGATTAATGGCTAACGATCACATAGCACATGCAATTTAAAATGTCAACCAGATGCTAACGTCCACTGTTAGGATTTAAAGTATATACCTAATATAATTAAAGCTTGAAAAATGCACTTGTCATACACATCATACAAGCATTTCAAGCCCTTTCAAGCACAAAATGTTATCTACAGTTCTATCTTACACCCCCTACCAAGTATACTGTCGTAAAATTTATAATCTATTAATAGATATTACAATATCAAATTGTGAATGGTTCTTTTTAAGCTACTGTAAAAGACATTGAGTACCATAAAGTACTTAATGACCCTTACTGGCTCTGATGAAAGTGAGACACTGAAAGCTTTATTGTTTATTATTTACCTTCTTGTTTGATGTTAATTTATAGATACACCTGCCCTTTATCATGGTGTATTATTCTTGAAAGTGTTACAGCTATGACAACTGTTTTCATATCAATGTTTTTCTTTTTATTATAGCTGATACTTGCACGGAAACTCTGGACCTTAAAATAACTTACATGATCGGTTTAACTCTATATTGTTCTGTTTCCCTGCAATACACTGCACGGTATTTCATAAACTCAGCAAGCTATTGCCAAACCAGAGCAACAACACAGGATTTCATGGCTTGGACAGTATTTAAGGCTGGTTGTGGGAATATGGCTAAGTTGTCACATAGGCTGTATTGAATAAATAAGCTTTAAAATACTTAGAGCTCAAGAAATGATATAATTTTTTTTTCACTACATAATCATTTCCTAAAGTTTAGGTCTGGAAATGGTCAGCAAACTAGTTATTCACACCTTTTTGGTAGTTAATTCTAGGAAAAATATATCCACGGATAACTTTGGAAGGTGATTACTCAAAATAATCATTATTTATATTGACTGAAGTAGTCCTGTAGTTTACTGTACTACTCAAAACAAATCTTAAAATATCCAATTTCAATGAATAGCCCCTCATTTGTAAGATTAAATAGTACTCAATCATTTTTAAGGCTTAGTCTGGTCCAAGGTGCTTTTAAACACAATACTATGGATTGGCAGTCAAAGTACGTTATTAGGATGATAGGAAAATTATTATTTTTTTTAAATTTTAAATTCTGACGACTAAGTCCAGGCCTGCCCGATGGAGGGGAACATGCCCCATTCCCCCCAGCTGGCGCCACCACTGTGCAAGAATATAATTAATATGTAAACAAGCATACAATGTGATGATGTCATTTCCTCTGGAATCACATGTGCCATAAACTAATGTCATGATGATATAAAACACAAGGTCATACATACACAGTGGTCGTCCGCAATGGAACAATCTTTGTGCAGTCCCTAGTTTCCTGGAATATGAATTAATCTTCCCACAATGCAATCTGAAATCACGAATCAATAGAGAAAATCAAAGAAGTACATGATATAAATACCTACATAATGTCGTATCTTCAATGCAAATTAAGATAAAAAATGCACATAATATTTAATGTTTGATTGTGGAAGTGTTTAAATCAATTACTTGAAAGTACCATATTCTAATTGTTAAAATTCAAATTATTATATTCTGTATACATGTAAGAGTTACAAATCATCTGTGATATATAAATTACTTACTTTGTATATTAAAAGAACATTTAAAAAACATTTTGATTTTGTTTTAAGCATTTTACATTCAAAGTTACTTACAGTATATCTGTGATATATAAATTACTTAGCTTGTATATTAAAAGTACATTTAAAAAAATGTTCATTTTGTTTTATGAATCTTACATTTAAAGGTACTTCTGGTAAATTTTGCAATTTGACTAGATTTATTAATACTGTATGTAGAATTTGCTACCCAAGGGGCATTATCAATAAAGAGGTTTACCATACACAATATTGTTGGTGTTAATATATAATTTTGTATATACATCTAATGCTTGCATGAATGTTGAAATGAAATACATTTTGTTTGCCCAATTATAAGTAAATAATAAACTAATATAAAACTATAACAATACATTTTTATGAAATTTAATAAACAAACTGTTAATACTGACAAAATATCTCATATTAGTGGATTGAAGCCTCACTGTTCTTTAAAAGATATTACTTCAATATATTATCAATCGTGATGTAATCACTGGAACTTTCAATGTTATTTTCCTATCCAAACCATGCACTAATTTTTCATTAATGCAGTTTGCTTGATTTTATTTTGATCGTGTAACGGAGGTAATAATGATGAATGTATCATACAGTAATTATGCACCATCAACGTTGCAAATTTTAGTATTATTTAATCCATGAGAAATCAGTTGTTTAACAGAGTCCAGATAAGAGGAAACATCAAGATACATGGGATGTATGATGCAACTTTTATTCAAAGTAAAACATATCTCTACTAAATGATGCAGTGCTTATCGAAAAGCAGCACAATAGCAAAATGAAAATATGTTTGGTCAGTGGTTAATCAAGAGCAGTACAGAGAGGTGCGTATTTGATCATTTCTCAATCATCGTAACAAATATATCATTGAACTACAGTACTTGTAATCTTGTCATTTATAATCACAACAAAAGTATCTTGTATACGTACCTATCTTGTGGAACAGCATCTGAGGTGCAACAATTACTGACTACATTGTAGAAAAAGAAAAAAAATACATCAACATATGAAGTAAATATAATTATTATTTATTATTAGATAAAATAATTGTATTTCTCTATAGTATACTATACCACTAATTTCAAACAATTTAACTAAAAATAAAATAAAACAAATACAACTTTACTGACATTTCCAGAGATACCACAACAGTTTAAAAAAAACCTGTTATACAGAAGGTGTCTGTTTAAAAAAAAACATACCATAAAACATTTTATGACTTTCCTTCTCTGGATTAAATTGGCCTTTCTGAAACAGGTCTCATTGCTCAATAGGACTGAATGGTGATAGTCTCAGTATATTCTAAATAGCCATTATTAAAATGAGGAAATTACCTTGAAATGAGTGAAAGAGGGGATTAAGAATGTTATACAGATAAACGAAAAAGATATTCTGACAATGTACAGTATGCTCGCATGTCTGCATATGGAACAGAATTATAGGAAGGTGCAACTAGTACATTGTTATACTTCTCACCGGTGGCTCCAGAAATTTACAACGGGGGTCTGACATGTTCGACGGGGGTTAGAACCAAGGCCGACTAGAGCCTCGGTCCGAGTCCCAGAATAAAAAATAACTGGTAGGGTCCACGGGGAGCATTTTCATGGATTAGTATGGTCAAAATTTTGATTTTAGACTATAATACTAGGAATTGGCAATCAAAATAACGTTATTTAGACAGGCAAATTATAATTCTAAAAATTTTGATCCAACGACCTCATCTTGGCATCAGACTACAGGGGGTCCGACGGGGGAGAAAGTGCCCTCTCTGCCCCCCATCCCAGCGCCACCACTGATACTTTAAGTTTTGTAGCATGCCTATAAAAAAACACTCGCAAATTATTCTCTCAGTCAACACAAAATAATTTGTTCACTAACTGTATACTTCACAATTCGAAAATATAATACAAGTAATGCTTTAATTAAAAAGCTGAAATTATTCGGTCTCTAGAGGCGGAACTTCAGTTAGTATGAAAATGTCAGATCAGAACAAATCCTTGCTATATAACAAACAGGCTTTAATTAAACATCACAATTACTTTGATTTTGATGTTACTAGTATGAATCAATATTATGTATTAGTAGATCAATTTTAAGATTAAAATTGAACCTGTGACATACGGGTCAACATAATAGTGTACGCCATATTAAAATACCATTAATATCTAACTTCATCAACTAAATACTGAGATTCACTATTCTTTTTATCACTCTATAGATCCCCTCTACCTGGCAATTTTGGCAAGCTTAAGCTGTTATGAGATGTGTAAATTGTATAAATTTAGCAACAGGACTTACTATGTGTCAAGGACAAGCCAAACCAGTCACTCGTCGAAAAAAATGATTTTTAGTTATTAATACAGGGTTAAAAAGTTAAATGAGAGCTATAAAATGGTAAAAGAATCATTTAAATTTAAATTCGTCATGAAGTTACAGAAATTTCAACATACAGCTGTTTAAAGAACAATATTTATGATTTTGGGCATTTCTCAGGCAGAAACCATCACCAAATCATTAAAAAGTGTTGTTTTAACATTTATAACAGCATAGCATATTTTGGCTATTATACCTGAAATAGGATTTGCGACGAGAGACTAGTTTGGCTTGTCTTTGCCACAATATGTGTTTCTATATTGTACTGTAGTTAACCCCGAGAAAAACTGACACCTCAAAAAAGGACCAAGGACATCAGATGATCTCACTGGGAACCTTCAAGCTAAATTATATTGCTACAGAATTTAGACTTCAGTTTGGCAGATACATTTCTGTACCTGAATACCAAACAATATGCAGGCTGTTTATGGGCAATTCCATTAATTTGATTTCATTACCAAGGAGCCAAAAATATGTTTCAAAGGGTCACTTTTGAAGCTTTAAATAATACATTTGATACTTTAACCTAGATTTTAACCATGTGGTTGCCATATCAACTATGGTAAATTACATTCTGTACAAAAGCACCGTTGGGACTCAACCTCAAAATTAGGTCTATACCAATAGGCCAAAAAAATAAAAGTTGACCGACTAACCCTGATTTCTAAATGTTAAGGCTAAAAAAAAAAGATTCTTTAGCCTTAACTTCCTTCTGAATACAGTTAACAGATACATCACAAAAAAACCTTGTAAATCTTATAAACATTTCTCATGAAATCTACAGTGTAGGGCCTTGTTGATTTGATTAAAAATGATTACTCACCTTTACAAACAGCTGATGAAAGAGGAAGAATTTGTCTCTGAAAACCAAAAAGTAATAACAGATATTGAATCATTAGCGTTACAGCCCTCCGACATATAAGAATTTACAACAGTACTTTTAAGACTAACTTGCAAAAAATTTATCCTCTAGCTTTCGTCCACACAGTGAAATTCATCACAGTCTCCTGATGAAGTCCACTGTGTGGACAAAAGTTAGCGAATAAATTTTATTAAAGTTAGTCTTAAAAGTGCTTATATTGATATTGAAAACAGTAATACTGTACTGTAATTATTTGACAATTTAATGTATTCATGCAAAAAACATTCAAAAAGTACCCAATCAGTAAACAACAAAAGGTAAAATATTATAGTTTTTGGTGGTCAACCTTATTGTATTAAAAAAAATGACATAAACAATTATTATACTGTACTGTTTATTCACTCTGGAGCAAATGATAAAAACAACTTATCATACGTGCCTAAGACAAGTCAGACAAGACACTCCTAGCAAATCGTATTTTGGAGATAATGGCCAATACATGTTGGTATATCGAAAACTTTGTATATCGAAAAAATTGTATGTGTGTACGCGCAACACACACACAAATTTTTTTATTTTTAATGTTCGTCTTATGTGCAGATTGTCCGTAACACACGGGGTGGGGGGTCATTTTATACACCCGACATACAAAAAAAAAACGTCCAAAAATCTTCTCAAACTGAGGGGGGGGGTCGTTTTATACAGAGATCACCTATATACGCAAGAGTATACCGTACGTATAAGGCACAGGTGGACAAAGTGCGGCCCGACAGCTATTTCTTTTGCAGGCCCGTAAAAATGAATTAAAAACCCTCGGTGTGTGGCCCGCCAAGCAACACTTGCTAAAAAACAAGTTACTTTTTTACAGCCTGACACCCATCATATGTAAAAAGTAACATTAAAACTGAGAATAATGTTGCATAAAAGCAGGGCAAGAAGGTTTTTGGAAGCACACTGAAAACATCAAAGTGTGGGTGCGGCCCTCGATGTTAAATTTAAAAATTCACTTTGGCCCTCCGGCCAATTTTTATGCCCACACCTGGTATAACGCAACATATTGGGGGGTGTTTTTTTTTTCATGAAGAACATCAGTACACTTGCATATGGTTTAATACTGTACATTCACTAACTTTGGAATTTGCCTTTAATGCTATACAGTAGTACGATATGCACATTGGGTAAATATTCAAGATTACACAGTGTTCTTTCCTTCAGATGACTTACAGTTTACACAAATTGCTACTTACAATATCTGCTCTTTTTAGAATAATCTAAAATTATTCAAATAATTACTTCAAACTATAGTATCAGAATAAAGTAATATTATTTGAACTAGTATGTAATGCCATTTTGCTGGAATTTAGAATGAATTAGTGCCCAAAGTGTAAAAATGCATTAGGTTAGCTAGAGTCTTAGCCACTCTACTCTAGGCCACAAATACTCTATACTATAAAGTTGTTTAATTACGCAGAGGATATCTAAAAAATCAGCTCAAATTTGAGCAGAAAATCGCCAGGAAAATAGGTGCGCAGAATCGTAATTGTTGCAGAAATTGCGTTTGTTTAAGTTTTGGTCAAAGCCAAATTTTCGGCAAAATCTGCACGGAAATCATGTCCGAGGGAGGAGGGGTATCCCCCATTGGCTGGGGGCCACCAAGGCCCTCTGGAAGCTTTGCGTTTAGATGGTTTGATAAAAGGAAGCAAATACATTTTGTAATGTCAGCATTTCTCTGCCCATACACATAAGGCCTACAAAAAATATCACTATATTCAAGACCAGACTATAAGAAACATCTGTTTGACCAGCGCTTCCCCAATTAATTCTTTTCTTTCTTGCACTATTTTTCCACTTTTTAATTATTTTTTTTTGTCTTGCTTGGCTCTGGCACCATGAGTGCTCCATGCAGATACCGACACCTTATATATATATCCACTATTATTATTATTAATTCCCTATACAGTGTTTGTATTTACTTGCATAGACACACTAAATGATGCACTCGGCAATGAACAATACAAGATTTTTCGAGTATCTACATACCTGTAATCAAACAAAACATAAAAAAGCAAAAAAAAAATTTGGTCCTTAAGTCAGGTTATTAAGCATCTGTCTAATAAACTATGCAACATGGGCATTTAAAATGATAAAAGAACTTTATACTCTTTATTGAGTGTTTGATCACTAGTAACTTTTGGTTCCTTCCTCCTGTAGCGCCTTGGGCACCACTGTATTGGATTTCTGAACTTTATTATTATTGTTATTGTTATTATTATTATTAACAATAATAATAATAATAATAATAATAATAATTATTATTATTATTATTATAAATATTATTAGTATATTAAAATGATAAAAATCTTTACTGTTATAGGCCTACACGATACAATGTATGATATCTGTATGTAGGTATACGATCTACTGATTGAAAAACGATCTAACTAAAAGACAAATCAGCGTCGTAGATATAACGTTGTGTTCGTGTGAATTGGGCAGAAAAAATGAATACTTTCTGTTGGCTATTTTCTTGTATAATGTAAAGGTGTAATTATCATTGTTATTCATATTATTATTATTATTATTGTTGTTGTTGTAGTGTTATTATCAAACCTAGGGTAAACTAAGGCCATAGTTCTTTTTTTCTTTTAATATTTTCGAAAGTGGGCGTGGCGCCCGCCACTGCCAGTTGGGGGGGGGGGGAACGAGTGCCCACTTCGACCCCCGGCTCTGCTGGATCTGCCACTGTTGGTGGTTGTAAAATGAATAAGTTTCTTTATTTATTAACTTGACGTTGTTGTTCTCTAGTAAGGCTTATGTATGCTAAGTTCTAGAAAGATTCAAGCTGTAAATAAGCCAGACCCTGTCCCTAGCCTGGGCCTAGCTAGCTAGAACTTACGAATCCCTCCACCCTCCTTCTACCCGTCAGAAACTTCAAGTCGGACGGAGCTTCATCGTCGTCTTACCACAACCACCCTATGCCTAGGTAAGTAGTAGAAGAAGAAAGTCATCATTATTTAAAACATTGTACGGATTATATTCACAAAGAGTACATACCCTGCAGTACGATATTCGAGTGGAATATGTAAATAATTTAGTAGGAATTGACCCGGCCTTCCTAAGTGAGGAATACATTTTGCTCGTCGTCGTCCTCCTCTCTCTAAAATCAAGGGTCATATAATTACTATTTTGCTTATTGTTTTTTACATATTTTTAAAAAATTCAGTGCATAATTATTGCGTATATTTCTGATAAATATATATCTAAATATAATGATTTAATTATTTATATATTTTAAGTTGTAATAATTTCAATTTTTCGTTCTTCTATTAAAATAAATATTAAAAACAACATGTATAGAAGATAGAGAGGTCATGTTTTTATTTTGTTTTTCACCCGGCCGGCGGAGTTGGAGTTCATATGCGCGAATGAATCCGAGTCAAAAGTGTGAAATATTCACGAATCTGAACATCCTCAGACAATGGTTAGGTAATACAAAACATAACGCTATATGTATTTGTTCAAATCAAATCTTAATCGAATCATCAATGCTGGGCTAGGCCAGGCCTTTCTTAGGTTGCGACCAATCTTCTAAGCCAATAATTAGAACAGACTGAGGTACGGAACGTAAGCATCGTCACTTCCCCACTCCACCACAGGTCCACAGCACGATAAGGAGGCCTAGCTAGATCAACAATTGCATGTATTGTAGGCCAAGCCTAGGCGTAAATCAAATAATACATGTAGACCTAGGCCAGGCTAGAATGCTAGCCTGCTTTTAATTCATGCTCTGTTTATAAGCCTGGAGTTACAGTTTTTACTGATTCCAAATACTATATAGGCCTAGTTAGTGGGGCCTAGACAAATTTTCAGGCTAATAATAATAACAATATTGACATTGTTTCAGCCTTAATATTCATAAAAATGAGGTATGTAGGGGATTCGTTCAAATATCGTCCCTGTGTCACTTTGCATCGTTCATTTTTGGCTGTCCCACCACACAGGCAGGGCCGCATGACTCATTACATCACTGAAGAATAGAGTTACAGTTTTTACTTACAGAGAGATTCCAAATACTATAGGGCCTAGACAAATTTTCAGGCTTGTTGAGTTCAGACTTTTTCCTAGATGCTCAGATTAAATGCATTTTTTAAAGGGATAGTAACATCCCTGTGTCACTTTGCATGATTCATATATGGGCGCCTCAGTACTGTCGCATAACTCATTACATCACTGATGAATAGAGTCATCATCATATCCATATATATATATCACATTTTTATCTCAACACAGTTCGTATGTCTTCACCCCAGCATTCTATTTTAGTATTTAGGCTAAAACTAAAATAATAAATATAATAAACAACAATTTAATCAAGTTTATGCTTATAATTGTTCCACAACGACCTCATTTGCACTCACTCCAAGCTTTTAGACTTGGTTTATACATAACGTCCGATTCAAATGGTAGACAAAATGCGTGCCAGCCCCAGACTAGCAGAAATATATTTATAAAGAAACAAAAAAAAGAAGATTTTGATGATACTTTTAGATTTATTGCTCTGTAGATTTAATTTGGTATATTTTGTCCACAGACAAAATTACGCAATACAGCTTCAAGAACCAGCAGGCTAGGGTTGCATCCAAACATGGATATAGCATGTAATTGTACCTTCATTTTCTCTGTTGAACATTATACACTGGTGTCTGAAACCAATTTAAATTCATCAGCATAATAATATGGGAACATGATTATTTTGAACAAGTAAGTTATGTTACTTTGTGATTTGTTTTTTTTTTTTGTTGTAAGTTTAATATAAATTATACTCAAACATATTTTGTTTACAGTATTATGAATTGCACTATTAAAGATTTCACTTTTCGAATTAATAAACCCTCAGACACACATTGTTCTACAGGTTGTACAAATCAGTCTTGAGGCAATGCTGACTGAAGTTGCGTAATACCCATGCGCCCTTGTGCCAACCCTTAGGGGCCGGGCTGGACCCACGGGGTCCTCGATCTAGCACCATGACCTAAAAGAGCTTTGTTAAAAATGGAGATGAAAAGAAAATTATATTCAAATTTTAAGTCTGTGAGTACCATTTCTGGCCATCTAGATGTGCTATATATTTTCTTACCTCAGGCCCAATTATGGTGGGCCTGAGGTGGACCCTCCATTTGTCAAAGTCCCTCCCAAGCCCCTCTATTTCAAATTCCTGGATCCTTCACTGATATATCATTTATTTAGTTGCTAAAAACATTTTAGAATCTATTTTGTTATCTATTTATCTTGACTTTTCTTTGTTTTATTGGCAAATATCTTTTTTATTTATCTGTGCTTAATATTGAAAATGGAGTCGGAGGAGCACACCATATCTGGTGATAGTAGTTTTTGTACCGCTTGTGCCACTCCTCAGCCCTCCTCTTTCTTTATTGATTTTGTGGTTGTACTGGCTAAAAGGAATAAAATAAAAATAAAATAAATAAAATGAAGAACAATATTTCCATTGCATTTTTAACAAAGAATTATGTCTAATAGATTTTTGATTTGTATTGACATTAAAGTGATTTATATTATTTTAAGGATTTATAGATATGGCATCAATTTGTAAATGCAGCCTTAATGTGTCCATTAATTGGCCAAGCAACGAATTTACCTTGAGCTACTGTAGTAATTCAACCGGATTAGTTTACTATTATAGTATTTTTTTTTCCATTTTTAGATATACAAATTTATTATGCTTTTACATACAGGTTTTTCAAAATAGATTTGAAATTACTTTTTAGAACTTACCTTTCATAATTTTTTAAAATTTATTTTTTAAATTGTTCCTCTGCAATGTTTAAATACAACATAATTTTAAAATACCATAAACACATGTTGTTTATTGTATTCCAAATAAAACGTTGCATTTTTCTTCAGATATGCTTGTAAATCACTTGGGCTATGAATGCGTGGCACCTAGCTCTTTTCTCACTTTTTATTTCACTTGTTTGTTAACTTCTGTACAACAGGAACCAAGGAGGCCAAGGCCTGTAATTAGGCCCTCGGACTAATCTTAAATATTAAATTAATCTTAAATAAGAAAACTAATCTTAAATATCAAAAATAACAATCTTCAGAAATTAGGCAAGAATAAGAAAAAGAAATCACAAAACAAACAAGCAAACCAAGCAGAGAGGAACGGTACAAATTAAACAGATGAATGGAGTGAGGAGCGCTTTGGGCCCTCTTGGCATGAAACGCATCTATAATCTCTGGGTGTATAAAGTACAATCTCAACACATATTGCATGTTAATCTTTCTTATTCCCTGAGAAATACGATTTATATTAGATCCATTAAGTCTTATGTAATGCAAATCAGTCCATATCACTTTTTTCTGTAAAAACACAACTGAGTGCCATTGTTTCATACTAATTCATCAGTTAATAGTAAATCAATGTAAGCTATAGACCTGTAGTTTTTCTGTTAGTGATAGATCAATAAATAGGATAATAAACTATAACATAGGATTTGAAGTAATTTAAAGGGTACTCTTTACTTTCAATATGTAAAAGTTTGTTATCTTTTACATTCAACCTTATTTTTATTATTAATTATACTTTTGTCTCTCCATCATGCTGTATAAGCTATAACGTTATGATCCAGTTTGCTTACAAGAGTTTTTTTTTAATGTGTAGTATAGTGTAAAAGTAAATCCTTGTCGAGCACAGGTGCAAATGCGGCCTGCGCCACATGCGGCCCAACAGCAATTTTTTTGCAGCTCGCAAATATGAATTAAAAACCCTATGTGTGCGCTCCACAAGCAACATTGGCTAGAAAATACCTTGTTTTTTAAGGCCCAACACCAATCATATGTAAAAAGTAATATTAAAACTTAGAATAGTAAAAAGTAATATTAAAACTTAGAATAAAGTGGTGTAAAAGCAGTGCTTGGAGGTTTTTGGAAGCTTACTGGAAAGATAAAAGTTTGGGTGCAGCCCTCGGTGCTAAATCAGAAATTCACTTTGGCCCTCGGACCGATTTTTATGCCCACCCCTGCTCTAGTGCCCATAGGGACTGGAGCTTTTACCCAGTTTCTGTAGCGTGAAGCAGATGAGAGTGTGATGCTCCCCCTGGGTGGGACACTAATCCACCGCAGTTACTCCCAGCAGTTTGCTGGTACCCATTGATACAACTGGGTATACTGAAGCAATGAAGAAAGTGCCTTACTAAAGGACACAAGTGAGATGCACAGCAAAGGATTGAATCCCTGACCTTGAGGTTGGGAAACCAAACCATTTCTACTGCTCCAAACCGCTTCCATTCCAGTCGTAAAATAATACATAAGTATCAATCCACTGTACTATTTAAAGTGCTGATTAAATTGAAAACTAGTAAGTTTTTCATAAAATGTTTGCAAATGTGGATTATAATTATTATTATTATGTTTGAAATAATTACTATTTAAATAAAATAATTTAACATTTTCATACTTTGAATAGGTACTCAACAAACCTGACTAATGCAATAAGGTTTTATAAATATTATTAGGATTATTATTATTACATTGCATTAAATTTATTCAAATTTAAAATCTTGCTGAATAAATGCACCTGCTCTATGCTTACTGCTTTATAGTACTTTTGTCCATTTTCTAAAGTGTCTGTATTAAGTTTTATATCTTAGTGGTCAATTACCATAGAGGCAGTGCTTACCGATACTTTATAGTACTTTAAAATTTTATTCCATTCCAAGTGATGGCTCCTTTTCAAGTTATTTTCTACCTCACCTAAATTGTTGATACATGTCTGGTTTTTAATGAAGACGTATCATGCTTTTGTTTCTTAGTTAATCCATGGAAGTAGTAATTAGGTTGAATCCATTGTATTGCGTTTCCAGTACTTGACCTTATTTCACATTCATAAATACCACAGTAAACTTTGTTACCATAACACATATTAGGAACATTATAAATAGAAACATTTTCATTCTGTATTTATATTCAACATTTATTTCAAAAATGGAATAATAACTACAACATACCATTTCTTGTGACCAGTTAATATGTTGCATTTTTGAAGAGGACATACATACAATTTGGAATAGATTTGCCTATGACTCCTCATAACTATTAAGGCAGAGATGTCTTTTTCTTAAGTCCACCTGTAATAGACTTAGTAAGTTACCCTCTGGCCTGCCAGGATGACCTGTATACATTCTTAATTACCTAGAGAGCAAATGACATAAATTAAAGTGCGCAAAGATCTGTCTTGTTTTTCTATGTATGTTTGTGATTTCTATTTTCATGTTTTTGTTTTTTGAAATTAAATTACATTAAGTCTAATAGATTTTGTTGTTCATAAGGCCAAATAAAAAAAAAAAGTAGTTTCTCATCCTAATATCTTAAAACAAAGAGAATGAGGGCACTTTTTTTCTTTTTTTTTACTCCGAGATTCCAAATCCAAGATGGCCAATGGAAACAGCTACTAGTTTCTCACTTTCACCAAGTAAACACATTGAAAGCAAATAAAAGAAGCACTAGACATGATTCATACCATATATCCCCAACCACAAATGATCAAGAGAGGAATTTTACTGATGTGAGTTAGCCAGATTTTCATACATTTCATAAAATAAAGGAAATTAAATAAAATAATATAAATATTCGGTTAAGCAGAGAAAATTGATGCTCGCAGAGATGAAAAACTAGTATTTTTTTTTATTTTGCTTACATAGATGCTATTCAATGAATTAGCTTTCTTTATCATCAATGAAATAAAGCATGATTATTTTAAATACCGGTAATTATTACGTACATGTACATCTGATATTCAGTAAAATGCAATTCTGGGTGTAACGCTGAAGAACTTATTAATACTATTACTAATTAATCAGGAAATATTTATTATATATTCAAATTACTGTACTATTATTATACTTTAATAAGAAAAAATTTGACAATAAAAGAAAAAGTTGTATGATCTGAATTAGCCTTTTATAAGATATTTAAAATATTGTTTTCCTTAATTTCCTTGTATGTGATTTGGCCAAAATTAATTAATTCCACATTAAAATCCATGTAAAATAATACTTGCCTATTTTTTATATTTTTTTTTTTTGTTTGTTATTTAAGCAATGGATTTTCTGGATTTTTTTACTGACAGTTGTTTTTGTTTCACTAATTCTTTAATCTCATTGTCAAACTAAGGATAGTTTTCAAACTTGACCTAAATTGAGTATCTGTTAATTCCATTAACCTAACAGTAGAACTCGTACAATTTATTAAATACTAATTAAATACTTTAGTAAAATGAAATATTAAAGGAAGTGGTAAAGTCCACATTTGTTTTTTAAATCTGTTATAAAATATAGTGAGCCCTCAATTTTGAATCTTATTGTTGTAAGATGTTCTTGATACTTTAGTGAGGTTCTTGTGAAAATTAGAACTTATTCTCACTTAGTAGCTTTGTCTCTACAAATTTATTTTATTGATTGTATGAGTTTATAATGACTTTAAAACTCAGTGGAAAATGTAATTTACCAGGTGACACCACATACAGTACTTACTCAAAAAAAAGACCTTGAACTAATACCAATATCAATGGAGATTGGAAAGAAAAATAAAAGTAAATTATACAAATGTTATTGACAATATAGTGAGCCCTCTATGTATATCCTTGTAGTTATAAGTATTCATATTTTTACTAAATAAAATACCATTAGTATACATTTTTTTTTGTTAACATACTTTCATACATACCAACATACTAAATTGATATGAATATTTTATTATCTACCTGTACTGAAAGCATGTATTTTTTTCAAAATTGTTTATTATTCTTGTTTTCACATCCAACTGCAAATAACTCATCATATATGGGATGGATTGATGCTTTATAAATTAAAGAAAGTATTTTCATGAGGGAGTTGAAGTTGTTTTTAGTTTTAATAATAAAAAAACCCAGCTATGACACAGTTTGAACCAGGACCTTCAAATTAGAAAGCAAGGATCTGAACCATTAAGCTATTCAACTCAACTCCAAATTCAGTTTAATAATGTCTTCTTCTCATTCAGTGTCCATATTCATAAATTCAATAATCATGTTTGATATAAATTATTTAATTTTTTTCAACCATTAATATTCAAAACAAAATGTCAAATCACAAAAGATGGCTCGTAAATTGGTATTGAATCACCTTTTGTAACGTGCATAATTTGCATAAATACTCAAGATTTCATGAGATACCTTCCACCTGTGTTAACGCTTATTACCAGCTTCTTGTGAAAATTAGTTATTCTCGTTTAGTTAGCTTTGTCTCTACTGCAAATGTGTTTCATTGATTATATGATAAATATTTTTATGACAAGATTTTGTAAATCTCAATGGAAAATTTCACTTACATACCAGGTGAAACAACATGCTTGTACCTAAAGTAAGATTGATTTTAAAATTGCTAATATCGATGGTGGGCGGAAAGAAAATGAAAAATTAAATATGCATTATGTCAATGATAAATAAAAAAATGTTAGTGTGGGAGGCAAGTCTTTTTGGCTGATGGGCCACCATTGTTTAAAAAATATTGTGAATGAATAAACAAATTGAGTGTGCCTTTTTCAGTAATCATTTATTTTCTATGTTTATTTGATTTTACAGTATAAAAGAGAAATAAAGATTTCTTATTGGGAGGTTTCATGACAAACTGTATATAACTACTGTACATTTATATTTGAATCATTAATATCGGCAAGTTTGCAAAACAAAGTATTCAATAACGAAGTTTCTTTATAAGATAACAGATACAATGTGTTTTGGGCAATCAGTATATTTGTTTTTCTTTCTTTTTTTTCACTTTCCAAAAGAAGCTGGGGCTGGTTCGCCCCCCCCCCAACTGTAAGACTTATCGTATAAGTAGGATCCTGTAGGTAAACAGTAGGCTGAAGAAAACGTTACCCAATGTGAAGAAAATACTATAACATTGAGTTTTTAATCCATCTGTTGTCATCACTTCAAGTTAGATAACCTACCCATCTCATTTTCTTTTTTTATATTCTTGATTTTATCAATTCTGTATTGGTTGTAAGTTCAGGATAAGAAGGTCATTGCAATTAGCACTTAAATGTAAGCGCTGCTGCCATTTCTGAGAGGAAGTAGTAGAAATAAAAACAAAAACAAATCACTCCAACAACTTTAAAGAGCAATATCTTGAATATCTTAACTGTTATGATAATGACATAAACCACATACACATAGGCTTAAGACTGCCAACAAATATATGACTATAATAGCATGCGCTATATCAAAGTTGAGTCTTAATAATATTGTTAATATTCTGTACACAACACAGAGACGTTCATGGACATATCAGGAAGTGAATTGGTTAGGGACAGTGTACTAGGCGACAAGCCCCTTTTCCTATTAATTCAAATAGTGTACTGTGTGCTTTTTTTCATGCAAAAAGCCTAATATTTCTTAATTTTTTAGATCACGAACCTTTTTGCTACAGAGGACAAGGCAACATTATTATTTTATAACATGTTAACTATTTTATAAGTAGTTGAGATAGTTCCAGATAATATAGACTATGTAAAAAACCTGATGGACAAAAATCAACATATCTTCATCATTGTCTTCCAAATGAATTTTCTGTAGCCTAACACTTTTTAGATATTACAGAAATCTTATAGATAAATATCATCATTTAATGTTGCCACACTCCTCATGTGATGGTTGATTCCTTTTATAAAAATTGTTTAATTAATAAACTTTTATATCTTTACTATTATTGAAGTTGATGAATAAAGATGATTTAGTCTAAGTGCAAGACACCACGACTCTATCTGCTCATTACTTGCATCGTGATGTTGTGTTCTTAAAATTGCGTCAGCAACCGCTCGACAAAGTGAGTGCCCAGTTTAAACACCCAAAACATCTATGAAATCTCATTCCTCAAAATATGATTTTACCGGTTAATTTTATTTAATGTGTAACTATAATGTATGTTTTATCTATTTTGATTTTCAGGAATTGTTAAAATAATATTTAACATAGGCCTACTGACTGTACAAAAAATTCAGGACATTCTGAAAAAAAAATGAAATCAGGAAATAGAAGTTGGAGAAGGTCAGACAACAGATGGACAACAAAAGTAACAGAATGGAGACCTATGGATGGCAAAAGGAACAAGGGAAAAGATGGATGGATCAGATAGGCAAGTATTTAGGAACAGCGAATTTGTGGAAGAGAACAGAGCAATCAGATAGTGTAGTATGGCATCAGAATTTTGACACTTTTATCCAACAATGGACTGACAAAAAACTGATGATGATCCCAGTACAAGAAATTAGGTTAATTCAATTGTCACCATTCTCATCGCCAAATTACTTTGTAAATAGTTGATATATTTCTCATATTAAAATATGTGTGACCCGAAGATCACCGATCATCAAAAGTATGAGGACGACTTGGCTCATATCAACCTCAAAAACGAGAGGTGACATCTCAACCAACATGGCGTAGCATCGAGAGTATGTTTAAGAATACTGGTGGATCACTAGCTAAACTTTGTAAGTTCAAAATGTTTTTTTTTAATAAATAGCATAGTATATCATTATATTGATGCACTTAATACAAACATCACTATTATCACCTATTTATTTTACTGTAAGGAAGTATAACACATACTCCAAGTGCTGAAATGCACCGCATCATGTTTGGATTCAATATTTCGACATTAATATTTTTTTCCTGATGATGACATAAATAATGTCGGAATATTGAATCACAACTTGATGGCATGTATTTATTTATTCTCATCTGAAATTAACCAGTGGACCATCATGTTATTTTACTATGTTAACAGTTATTATTACCGGCATTTGGCACTGTGGTTGGGGGTTTGAAACTCGCTTGTGTCCTTGGGCAAGACAGTTTATCTGCGTCTGCCTTTTACAGAGTAGTATACTTTAAATGGGTACGTGCATATACTGAAAGGGTAATCGCTGTGCGGAGTGGTGACAACCCCCTCAAAGCATTGTGTAGACTGGCCCCAACGCTTACGAAAGAGGGATACGCCGGACTCAACTACCTTTACCTTTTACAATACTGTATCATCTCCAAATGTTTCATTACAGATATCTCTTATTGTCATCACCAAATTAATTTACTACAATCATGTCTTTTATTACATTACATTTTTACATTTTTTATTACATTCCAAACTTGTTAATAGTTCATTCATTATCACCAAAACTATTGAAAGTTAATATGGCCATTAATTTTACTAAAGCACATTACTGGTTATAATACAATCATCCCCAAACCTGTTAGTATTTACCACTCCTCAACAAACTTTTTAACAGTTACTAAACAACAAACATTACCAAACCCTGTAACAGCACCAAACGCATTACCAGTTATTAAGATAATTGTCACCAAACCTGTTAATGTTTTTCACTCATTATCACCAAACCTGTTTATGGTATCACTCATTATCACCAAACCTGTTAATACTGTATTTTTCACTCATTATCGCCAAACCTGTTTATAGTTGCTGAATCACTTATTATTACCAAACCTGTTTATATAGTTATCACTCATTTATCACCAAACCTGTTAACAGTTTAATGAACACAATAACTACCATATCAGATAACCTATAGACAGTAAATAATATAATTAGCACCAAACCTGTTAACAGTTATGAATACAATAGCTACCATAATTATCTGTTACACCAAACCCATATACGGTAAACAGTTGACAGTTATTGCTCACCAAATGCTCGCAAGTGTTTGGGAATGTACTGAGTATTCAGTACGATAATAGGTCGTGTAGGGCAGAACAATACCCTCTACCCTGTGCAGCCTGAGGATCGGATTTAGCACTAGCCACTAAGCATAAGCTCAGTGGTTCAGTGGTTATGCACCAGGCTAGTAGTTATCTGGAGGTTGTCGGTTTGATTACTGTACCACCTGAATAATTTGCATGTATTTGGGAATGTGCTGAGTATTCAGTGTGATAACATATCAGGAAGGGCAGAATATCACTCTTATTTTTTATTATAGTTATTACTAATCATCTAATTATTTATATGCATTACCAATCATCATTTATATCATAATTGACTTGGTTTGGATTGGATTGTATTTTTTTGATGTAAACACCAAGAATAACCCACAGAAATCTGAAGAAAACTTATTTTAAGTAGGGTTCTTGTAGTGTTAACTGGGCAGTACACCAGGTGAAAATTCTCTACTGTTTTTCAAAGAATGTAATGCGTTTGCTTGGCCTTATCATATTATTAATCTTTCCCTTGTATGCGGTTTTTCTATGGTTGGTTGTTATGTGCAATATATGTTGTGTTCAACACTTTATTAATTAATTTTTTGATTTTGTATTGTTTGAAATAATTTAATAATTTGAAATAATTCACATTCTTATATATTTGAATTTTCTATATTGATGGTATTTTTATGTCATTAATGTAATCTTTAGATGTTATTTTTGAGTCTAGTAATTTTTTAATGTGATTTTTCTTCATATGTATTTTAATGTTTTGTCCTTTTGTTGCAATTTTGTATAATATATTTAATGTTCTTGTATTTTATAATATATTCTATTTTTGTAAATACATTCATTTCTGCCTTTGGCTGCCATTTGTATATTCTTTTATGCCTGAATAAATAAATAAATAAATAAAAATAACGTGCACATGGGCCATAATGCACACAGGACCAACGGACCATTCAAAAGATGGTGCACTATTGTAACTTGCATTTCAGCCCTCTAACTGAAATACAAGGAGATAGCGATGAGAATTGAACCAGGCACCATATGATCTCCATGGTTCAGCACACACACACAGTGGCTGAGTGCGCTAAGCACTGCTCTCAAATCTTCTAGTTGTCCGATGAGAATTGAACCAGGCACCATATGATCTCCATGGTTCAGCACACACACACAGTGGCTGAGTGCGCTAAGCACTGCTCTCAAATCTTATAGTTGTCCTGTAGTAATTTACTCTGTTGATTTAAAGCTTGTGAATATTATATTCCTATTAATAAATAGAACGCATTGGTATATAAATCAATGAAACATGTTTTGATTAATATTTATTAATAGGAGTATAATATTCAAAATCTTTAAAATCAACTGAGTAAATTACTACTGAACTGCTAGAAGATTATGAAAATCTCTAGAAAAGGGTGATAGTCCATTTCAGTTTTCAACGATGTGACAACATGGCTCATTTTATGATAGAGGATCACAAATTTGAAGCTATATTTAACACATTTCATATCCAGATCTGTGAAGATTATTCTTAGAAACACATCTATTCTACAACTTTGTGCCTCTTTATGTGGCTAGAATTACAAGATTTTAACCCATAATAGTTGAATGTAAATGCCAGCACATAAACATTATGTCAGGTATGAGGTGGTTTGATTGAGTAAACTCTTCTTCTGACCTCTTGTAGATGATGTTATGTTATATATGTATAGAAATTTCGAAGAAGAACATAAAGGCAAGTGGCTAAATGAGGAAACACTGCTAGAAATCTCATCTTATTTCATACATCATTTGCTTGAGCATTTTTGAGTAAAAAAAACATTATAGGGTTTACAAGTAGATTTCCGAGGAGGCCGTAGAACAGAAGACTAAGATATATTTCACAAACTTAAATGTTACTCAAATTGCAATTGGTGTGAATTCACAATTACATTGCATGTTGGTTTGAAAATGACTTCTGAAAAACAACTTTAGTCTTTTTTTTTTTGTGTTTCTTGATTTGGATTTTAATAAGCTTGTTAACCGTAGTGCAGCCAATGGCGGATCCAGAAATTTGTCATAGAGGGGGCCCGGGGCAAGAGGG